CTCAGGAATGAGGCGGTCCAACTGTCTGACACGGTTCTGGTGAGAGGGGTGTGTGGAAAGCCACTCCGGCATGGTCGGCTGACCACTCAGCTGATCAAAAATCTCCATTTGCTCCCAAAACACAGGGCCTGCCCTCACATCAGCACATGCCTGACAGAAACACACGCAAACAGATGGCATGTTAAAGCTCTGGCATCATCAAAAGAAGTATACATGAAGATGATAAAACACACACATGTTGGTTTTGGTGGTTTATGAAGACTCTTCATATGCCTACTGTAATTTATACTGAAAAAAATATATATTTTATGGCCTAATTATAAACCTAACCTTAACCAACCCTCACAGAAAACATGTGCCAAATTTGAAAACACTTTAAAGGGAAAACCATCTCAACATTGAAATACCTCTATCAAATATATATAATTATACACATTTGTGTCCTATTAAACCACCAAAAACAGTACACGCATACATAAACGAGAGTGTTACATTATTATCTGATGGTGGTTTAAGGTTAGCATGACTCATGGCTTGTCTAGCTGTTGCAGAAACGTGTCCTTCACACCGGATCTTAGCCCGTTTACGAGCAGCATGCAGCCCGTTATTACCACTATAAGAGATAGAAGGGAATTGACTGCTTCTCCATAATGATACCAGGCATGGGATGAGGAGGAAACACGCTGTCATGAAGAGCACCGTGAATCAGACACTGCCACATACTGAGAAATCGCTGCCATTTGGGCGGATTGTAGAGAAACAGTGCCATCTAGAGGCCTAGAAGTATATTACAGTTTTTAAAGGAAACACAAGATGGGATTTTAACCTTTATTTAAAACCAAAATTTAATGTTCTGTCATGATTTAATTACTCTTCACTTGCTTCAATCCTATTTGAGTTTTTTCTGATAAACGCAAAAGAATATATTTTGAAGAATTTTTGAAACAGGTAACCATTAACTTCCATTGTAATATATATATATATATATTTTTTTTAGACTAAAACCAGAAAGATTTATTATTGGCAGGTATGCTTACAAATATAATAAATTGATTTTTCTGTGACAGAAGTATCCATTGTGTAACAAAATGACAGCACAAAAACACAGATAATAAAAGACTTTTGTAAGTAAAAAAAAAAAAGTAGTTCTACCATAAATATCAATAACTACAACTTATCAGTAAATAGTGTGTAAATTTGCATTGTTAGCTGAACCACTATATATATTTTTTTTCCTTTTTTTTTTTTTTAAATGCACACATGCTTGAGTCATTTTGTATAGAGTAATATTAGGGTTCAAAATATTTTTTAATAATATCATTATAATATTGTTTATAAGATCAGTTTTTGCTTTTCTGAGAATCAAACCCATAACCTTGACATTAAAAGAGATAAAAACATACAAACAGTAAATAAAAAAGTAGTCTCATCGACTTCCATAAAATGAGTTTTTCTTACTTTGAAAGTGAATGATTACTACTCTCTAACATTCTTCAAAATATCTTATTTTGTGTTCAATAGAAAAAAAGAAACTCGTAAAGATTTGGAACCACTTGAGGGTGGGTCAATAATGAGTAATCTTAGGGTGAACTGTCCCTTTAAAGCTTTAAGAACTTCACATATAAAATGTATACACTCACCTCACTTTATTAGGTACATGTTAATAGTACTGTGTTGTACCCCCTTTTTGCCTTTAGAACTGCCTTAATCCTTTGTAGCATAGATTCAACAAGTTAATGGAAATATTCCTCAGAGATTTTGGTTCATATTGAAATGATAGCATCACGCAGTTGCTGCAGATTTGTTGGTAGCACATCCATGATGTGAATCTCCCGTTCCACCACATCCCAAAGGTGCTCTATTGGATTGGGATCTGGTGACTGTGGAGACAATTTGAGTACATTGAACTCCCTGTCATGTTCAAGAAATCAGGTAAGCTGTGGCTGTGCTAATGCTCGATTGGTATTAATGGGTCCAAAGGTTCCCAAGAAAATATCCCTCACACTATTAAACCACCACCACCAGCCTGAACCGTTGATACAAGGCAGAATGGATCCATGCTTTCATGTTGTTGACAGCAAATTCTGACCCTACCATCCAAGTAGGCCAGACAACGAAATATTTTTTCAATCTTCTGTTGTCCAATTTTGATGAGTCTGTGTGAATTATACCCTCGCTGTCCTGTTTTTAGCTGACAAGAGTGGCACTTGGTGTGGTCTTCTGCTGCTATAGCCCATATCCATCTCAAAGTTGAATGTGTTGTGCGTTCAGAGATGCTCATCTGCATACCTCGGATTTAACCAGTTGCTATTTGAGTAGCTGTTGCCTGTCTAATAGCTGAACCAGTCAGTCCATTCTCCTCTGACATCAACAAGGCACTTGTGCCCAAAGAACTGCAACTCACAGGATAGTTTCTCTTATTCTGACCATTCTCTGCAAACCCTAGTGATGGTTGTGCATAAAAATACCAGTAGATCAGCAGTTTCTGAAATACTCAGACCAGCCCGTCTTGCACCAACAACCATGCCATGTCACTTAAATTACCTTTCTACCCCATTGTGATGCTCACTTTGAACTGCAGCCATGTCAACGTGCCTAAATGCACTAAATTGTAGCCATGTAATTGTGGCTGAATAGAAATTTGCGTCAACAAGCAGTTGGACAAGTGTACCTAATAAAGTGGCTGGTAAGTGTAATTTACTATAGTAATATATTAGAAGTTTAATCACAGACATATAACATAATGTGTGTTTTTTTTTCTGAATCGACAACAAAAAGAGTCTGAAATAAATCAAGCAAATCATTTGTGTATCTCGGAGCAACACCATATGGCCTTTGATTCATGAATGAATCAGTTTTTTAAAATGATCATCAATGATTGAATGAGTGTGATGATGTTGTATCTAATGATAATGTCTGCGATACCTTTGCAGCCATCTGTAGGCCAACCTGATCCGCTTCCGCCTCCAGCTTACGACTGAACGGCCGGTCAAATAAAAACTACAACAACAGACAGAGAACAAGAAGAGAGAAAATGCAGTTAAATCAGCTCTTCTGACAGAGCACACGCTGCAGTTATATTGGATAAAACAAGGAAGATAAACAGAATGAAGTAAACCATATTTGGAGAACAAAACGACTAGGATATAAAACGGCCAGCTATTAAAATAGAATTCATATTAAATATAATTGAGGAATATGATGAAAAACAAGAAACAAAAGGGATAGAAACACCTACAAAAATGAGAGAGCAAGAGAGTACACTGTATCTCGGAAGAAAAACACAATAAAAGAAACCTAAAGAACGATTCAATTGAAAGAGGCCCTTTGTTTCACACCGCACAGCGATTCCGCAAATGCTAATTCAATATCCATTTAGAAGACAAATAAATGTAGCTGAATTTTAAGTAAGCTCAAATTGAACTCCTTACAAAGCCAAATAAGATCTCCTCTGAGATACTGTTATTGTTTTACAATAGTGCCAAGAGAGTACTTGAGGAGCTTTTTCTTTGAGCTCGAGTGGAAGAGCATAATTCACATTTAAAGACTCTTTCAGGGATTTTGGAATCAATTTTTAAGGAGTGTTTGCATCGTTAATGGACAGTCTGAACCTAAACAGAGACCAATCATTGTGGTGAACAAGCTACATAATAAAAATAAATATATAAAAAATGAAATCAGCAGCTTTTTGTTCTTCTAAGAATCTAAACTTTTGGAAAGACGAATTAGAATGATCAAATGTGACAGTATAATGTTACATAAATCAATATAATATTTAGCTCTTCTGAAAATTTTATTTGTTGCAAAAATCCTGAAAACACCTGGAAATGCATTTATACATCTTTAATAATACCAAACTTTTAATGTATTGTTTAGTGTTGTCCTCAGTGTTGGGCACTAGCGCGTTACTATTTATGCGTTACTGTAACGGCATTACTTTTGTAACTGTGTCACTTCACCTATTCTTTTACACTTTTTAGAAATTAATGTTCAAGTAAGCATTCACAGAATTTTATTTTTAAATCTTCCGATGAAACAGCCATCCTAAGTTTACTTTATGAGAATGATGATATTGGTGCTCTGTCAGTCAGGAATTAGTCAGTTCGTTGAGTGGTGTGATAGAAATAAGCTAAAAATAAATACTAAGAAAACAGCAGAGATGGTATTTGACGATGGTGTCGCGGCGCAGTAGTCTTTTGGTAGTTTAAGCTTGGCGCAAAAGTCGTTTTGAGGCGTTGCGCTACGCTGTTTAAATAGCAAATGCATTAGCGCTCATTTGTGCGCCCATAGGCGTTCTGGTCTAAAAAGGAAGGCGTTCTAAGGCGGACCACTGACGCGTTGCTATTTTGAGAAACTATCATAGATTTTTCATTAGACCAAAAATAACCCGGTCTAAACTCCGGCGCAGAGTTGTGCCTCGCTTACACACTGCTTAATACTCACAAGAGAGCAATAGGCAAATATCTTTACATATAAAAAAATTTAAATATTAAGACTATATATATAGGATATAATAAGAATAGATATAGGATATAAATATAAACGATTAAAATATTACAAAACATTATTTTCTAGCCTACATAAATATGAAAAACCACTGCTTTTATGTCTTCTTCATCTCGGGGGGATTTTTCAGTTCATTCATAACAATTTGTTTTTGTATAATGTTATTATTATTAGCAGTATTATTTATTATATGCATATTTATATTTGTTTTATTAAAACAAGCTTAGATTTTCCCACCTGTCAGGTTTTAGACAGTATGGGGCACAGCATGTGTTTTAGGATATAACTCAGGTTTTTGAGCACACTTCGTTATTATTGTTCATTTATTCGTTTGCTGGAAATTAGAACTGAATTTAGAAATAGTTTTGAAACGAATATTTGCGCTTAACAAACAAAATTAATTATTTATAGACTAATTGATGTCTGCGCGTAAAGATTTCCCTATCCAAGAGCGAATGTGAAAGTGATCCATTATCTCTCATTCTCACGCAGTAGATGCTCTGTTTAACATTTTTCTGTTAAAAAACTGTTAACTGTTTGCTTGTGAAATGCTCATTTTTTCCACTTAGACTTACTTTGCGTCCTGTAAATAACGAATGCGCTCTTGGCGCGACGCAGCTGACTCTTAAAGGGAATGGGAGATGAGACTCTAATTGGTTTATTCTCAAAACACACCTATAACTCTTTAAGAAAATAAACTCAACCCTTTTAGACCAAAGCAGGTTTTCCCGTCCTTAAATTAGCAAATACGCGTTCTGACACGCCCTGAAAGCGTTTGCTCCCTGCGTTTTGTGCTCTGCGCATGGACCGTCAAAATAGAGCCCAAACAGTTTAATGATAATAATTACAATAAACCACTGTCCTTAGTTTATAAATAAGTAAATAAATACATAACATTAATGCTAAATGTTTGTATATACTATAAAATAGAGCAGATCTATGTGTGGCTGCATGAGAATTGACATATCAGTACTTCAAAAAAGTGTTGCAAGTATTTAAGTTTATTTGAAATATGTCAGATTGGTCTGACAGCTAAGTTCCTTGTTTATTAAACCAGAATAAAAGGACAGTTCTGAGTCATATGGGCTTATTAACTATCATTTTTCCATTTTCTATCTGCCTTAATATACAATGTAACAACAGAAGAGTGAAGCTTTTATTAAATTTTTTTTATTAAGCTTTTATTAATTTTTTTTTTTTTGAGATGCTAATGGTCTAATCTGAATCAATGATTTATGCTAAGCTAAGCTAAAAGTGCTCCAGCCAGATGCAGAGATCAGCTGAATTGATTAAAATACAGTAAAATCAATTGTTTAACTCTAGGGGAATGAGTATATTTTCAGATAAAGTGGATTGTTTGAAAAAGAGATATTGCGGTCAGTTGTCACCTGCACTAGTTTGCCTTGAATCCAGTGTCCCAGCGCCGCTAAACTGTCCCGAGGACAGACTGCCCAGATCGCAGTCAGCAGGACGAGAGACAACAGCTCCACCACGTGAGACAAACTGGCCTGCTCTGCCTAAGAGAGAAAAAAATCATTACAGACTTTTCTGTCTTTGTTGATTTTTGCCGTTTATTTACTATGCTAATTTGTTTGTATTTTGCTGCTAAGAACCATTTCTTACAGCCCATTTTCCGACAGCATGCCCAATTAGGAAGAATGCCGAAAGAACAAACAAAAAAGAAACAAGCAATTTAACAAGGAAAGACATAATGAATCACACTGAATCGTAATTACAATGCAACATTCAGCTTACAGAAGGGCAGAAAAAATAAGACAAAACATGTCCATGAATGACCGAGTGTGAGCCGCAAAACTAATTTGTTGGGTAATTATGCCAGTCATAGTCATACAGTGGTATATGCTAATAAAAGGTGTTAAAGTGCCACTATGTGTTATTTATTTTAATATGGTCTGTTTTGTATTGTAAGGGTTATAGTCATTTGTTTGCATGTGAACTCTTATAGTAAGTAAAATGCTAATGTCTTTATTTAAAGTTACATTGTATATAATAATATAATATATCACTTGCAATACTAGATCATTAAAATGGGTGGCTTTAATTTTATTTTAACATAATAGATGCTATTTTTGTTTTAGTCCTACAGTTGGTGACACTTTAAAAAGAGCATTTGTTATGTCTCTGATGTTAAATGTCTAGGAGTGGGAGCAACACTGAAAGGTTTAATGTTGGTTGGGGTGAGTGTGGACCAGTCCCCTGCCTTCACGACAACACACCAAATTCAAGTTGAATAATTTATTAATATAAATGTACAATAATAAAACAGAGCTGGAAAGCAAAAATAGACTTCAGGAGGGGGAAAGGCCAAAACAACAAACAAAAGTATACTCACCAAGCAGTATGGTCACCAATCCTGGTCCTGGAGGGCCGGTGTCCCTGCAGGGTTTAGCTCCATCTTGCCTCAACACACCTGCCTGGATGTTTCAAGAATACCTAGTACAGGAGTGGCCAACTCTGTTCTTGGAGAGCCACCTTCCAGCAGATTTCAGTTGCTACCCATATCAAACACACCTGAACCAATTAATTAGGACCTGAACACCACGCGATAATTACAGGCAGGTGTGTTTGATATGGGTTGCACCTGAAATCTGCAGGAAGGTGGCTCTCCAGGAACAGGGTTGGACACCCCTGACCTAGTAAGACCTTGATTAGCTTGTTCAGGTGTGTTTGATAAGAGTTGGAGCTAAAATCTGCAGGACACCGGCCCTCCAGGAACAAGTTTGTTGACCACTGCTCTAGCTAGTTAGGGAGTATAACTGTCTAAACTGACAAAGTAAAATTAAATCAACAATAGACATGTACACCAACTCCCTAACTAAGCATAAACAAGAGAAAAGGGGGTTTTAGAAATCAAATGGCACCACCCTCCCCACGGCTTCCAAACACAAACTTAATTTTTTAAAGTTTTGAGTTCAAGTTTTTTCAAACGCTTTTACAGCAGATTTTAACTTTAACAAGTTAAGCACAACAGCAATGATAATATTCTCAATCAAACAAGAGAGAAAGGGGAGAGAGAGAGAGAGAGAGAGAGAGAGAACACAAACCATATAATAATAATACATTCAAACACCATGGAATGTAACACATTACCGCCGTTGCACTAAAGGAGTTAGAACAGGCAGAGGATAGTGAGCATAATGTAAGTTAATGTTAAAGGCAGCGAGCGCAAAATTTCTCACTTAATCACTTAACGGTGTTTAACTATAACATGACATTTGTTGATTAAAATTTGTTTTATGTTGGCTTTTTAATTTTTTGAAAAACATTTTAAGTTCAATATTATTAGCCCCTTTAATTCTTTTTTTTTTTCGATAATCTACAGAACAAACCATCATTATATAATAACTGAATTACCCTATACTGCCTAGTTAACCTAATTAAGCTAGTTAAGCCTTTAAATGTCACTTTAAGCTGTATGGAAGTGTCTTTAAAAACTTCCAGTAAAATATTATTTACTGTCATCATGGCAAAGATAAAATAAATCAGTTATTAGAGAGGAGTTATTAAAACTATTATGCTTACAAATGGGTTGAGAATCTTCTCTCCGTTAAAAAGAAATTGAGGAAAGAAATTAACTGAGGGGGCTGATAATTCAGGGGGGGCCAAGTTATGGAGGGGAGTACTATCTGGTACGAGCTGTGCTCTGGGTGTGTGTGTTTGTGTGTGTGTGTATTTTTCTGATGTTTCTGTGCAGGCACACAACCTGAAGTGTAGCCGGTCTACCTCAATACGGATGATGACTGGACTGCTATTTGCTGGAGAAATGTTGTTAGAAGTAAACAAAAGAAGTCTATAAAACTGTGTGATTTTGTATATTTGACGCTTCAGACTGCCTAATCGCAGATTGACTGCTGTTCTAAAGCCCAGAATTCTGCAGAAGCTTTATTCACTTGATAATAAAAGATTGTAATTATTTACTGCCTCCGACCGACTTTAAGCATGGGGAGGACTTGAGAAAAGTCCAAAAATGACTTTAAAAATGTAATAAATGAAAGCTTTAGCTATAGTTCTAGCAGGAAGACTGAGATTTCATATCATTTATAATAACCATCTCGTTAGCCTAAACCAACCAAGCAAGCTATATATATAAGCCTATCTACAATCTGTTTCGCTGTATTCAGGTGACATTGTGGAAGTTTCCCTCCATTCTCCCCATCACCACCACCTCCAGGCTTACACCAAAGGACTTTATGAAAGGACCGTAACGAACTTGCATATATGCAAACAATCCACAATAAAATGTTCAAACGTTTATCTGCCTCCTAAAGTCTTTCTGGTAGAAATAATTAGATTTTCCTCTCTACTGCAGCCTAGATCAAAAACAAAATGCACAAAATCTAATCTTGAAGGCCGTAAGAATGCATGAAACAGTCAATAAATTGAAAACATAAAATACTTATGAGTCCAATCGCATTTGTTTGCCTTTAAAATGAGAGAAAACCAGTGCAACAAAAAAAATGTTTTACTTTTTCACAGCTGCGCTAAGTTAGCCTTAATATGAACGTTAAGCTCCTTTACCCTAACCAGACGCACGAGTGTGCAGTGATGCAACAGCTCTGAAACTGAATCATCTCTTTAAACGCAACCCTTAGCAGCGCTTAGTGCCTCAGAGAACAGACGCCGCTTTTTCTTTATTTAAACCAAGAGAAGAGATGAAAGTAAAACATGACACACGTAAAACAGAGATAAAGCGAGCTCTTCAATCTAATGAAGGGTGTTTAAGTTCCAGAAAAATCAGAGAGACATTGGGAAGGAGGTACAAACTAAGTGTGACTCAAACAACTATAAAGGCCAGAGGCAGTCCGAAAACCATGTAATACTCGTATATGTTTACATTTAAAGTCTGTGTGAACTGGAAGTTGCTGAGACTTTTATTTCAGTATGTTGATATACTGAAATGCAGACTTAGGAGAAAAAAAAAAGTATTCAGTAACTGTAATCTGATTACTTTTGGTTTCCTTTAAGTCTCATTCACTCATTCATTCATTTTCTTTTCGGCTTAGTCCCTTTATTAATCCGGGGTCACCACAGCGGAATGAACCGCCAACTTATCCAGCAAGATTTTACGTATAGCGAATGCCCTTCCAGCCGCAACCCATCTCTAGGAAACATCCACACACACATTCACACACACACACACACACACACACACACACACACACACACACACACACACACACACACACACACACACACACACACACACACACTACGGACAATTTAAGCCTACACAATTCACCTGTCCTGGATGTCTTTGGACTGTAGGGGAAACCGGAGCAACCGGAGGAAACCCACGCGTAGGCAGGGAGAACATGCAAACTCCACACAGAAACGCCAACTGAGCCGAGGCTCAAACCAGTAACCCAGCGACCTTCTTGCTGTGAGGCAACAGCACTATTTACTGCACTACTGCCTCGCCCCCATTTAATTAACTCTGCTAATATGAAAATAAAGAATATAAATTCATTTTTTGCTGTTGTTCCTTAGCAAATATAACAAGAGATAATTTGTACGCAACAGAAATGCCTCCTCAACAAGACAACAGAAAACAGAGCTTGTGAATCTAGACCAGGGGTGTCAAACTCAGTTCCAAAAGGGCCGAAGCCCTGCACAGTTTAGTTCCAACCCTGCTCCAACACACTTACCTGTAGGTTTCAAACAAGCCTGAAGGACTCAATTAGTTTGATCAGGTGTGTTTAATTAGGGTTGGAACTAAACTGTGCAGAGCTGCGGCCCTTTTGGAACTGAGTTTGACACCTGTGATCTAGACTATGTCATGATGAGTTGCGGTCGGACATGTTTGTGGGCAAATGCAGGAGCACACAATGAAAATCAAAACAGAAAAACAACCGTTTTACAGTAATATCTTTTGAAAACATTTTACAAAGACTCAGAATACAATTGACTAATGTGTATACACCTTTAAAAATGCTCTGTATGTGTCTGAGAAGCTGAAAATTGGCATTCCATAACATTCTGTGCCCAGGGATGAAGTGTAACTGGAGAAATAAGTATTGTTTAATAAAAAGCTGTTGACATGAAATTGAAACAAATTTTGGTAAAAACCCAAAAAATACAAACATAAAAATGAAACAAAACAAATAAATCTAAAAAAAAAGGAAAAAAAAGAAAAAAAAAGATGTGTAAAAACAATGGAATGACACAAGGAGAAAGTACTGCCCTACTGAAATGAATTTATTACTTCATTTAAAGACTTTCTTGTGATGGCAGCTTAAAGACGCCTCTCATATGGAGAATGAAGTCAGATGAAATGCTCAGGTGTGATTTTAATTCACAGACTTCAAAAGAGTCTAAAAATCTTGATGGCTCCGTGGATCTCATCTATCAAATCTGATATTTAATTCGTATTTTATATTTGATTTAAGTCAGGTGATTGGCTGGGCCATTGATTCTACAGCTTGATTTTCTTTCTCTGAAAGCATTTGAGAATTTCCTTGGCTGTGTTTTGGATCATTGTTTTGCTGAAATGTCCACCCTGGTTTCATCTTCATCATCCTGATAATGTACATGTTTGACTGATGCAGCTGATATTAATTTAGAGCATCTTTAAAATATATTTTCTAAAAAAAAAATTGCTGAATACTTATTTGCCCACCTGTACATGATACAATAAATCAACAGAGATTAATGTGAATCAGACACACTTGTTCTAAAATACCCAGAATGCATTACATGGTTGACACATTCCCATTCTCTATACCCGCAGACAGTGTCATATCAACAATAAACACTGATTCATTCTGCATCTGAGGAGATTTTTGCATTATTTGTGCATTTAACAGCAGGTGGCTCCCGCGAGTCACCACTGGCAACTGAACCAAATACAAATATATTTATAAAGCAGCACTTAATATAGCGAACTTACAATGCCAATATGGGGTGAATTCAGCTCAATTGGTTATCTGAATGACAAAAAAATGCTTCTAATAACCTGAATTCACCCTACATTGTATTTAGTTTTAAAATTCACAATTGTAATCCTACAGAGACCCAGAAGGGACGTGATAGTGGGGTAAAAAATGGGTGGGAGAAGAAGTGATAGAAAAATATATTTGTTTAAGTGTACAGAAGATGATCTGGGATCAGTTCTGGGATCAGTTCTTACAGTCTGTGTCCATCAGTCAGCGCTTATACATGCATTCATTGATTCAGAGGTTGCATATGAAAGGCGATGATCGATGCACAGCCTTAATGAATAGTGAATGCAGACATTTTATAATAATTTCAATTATTATAAGGTTAAAAAATATGGGAGAAACGTGGTAAAACCCAATTCTATTTTTGTACCCCTAAGTCTAGCCCTTCCCCTTGGCCCTTAAAACCGAGTGTGAAGGGAAAGGGCTTCAAAATGTACCCCTAAAAAATAGGAGAGCACTACAACACTTCATCATATTTCATCTCAATCTCTTACTTCATATGAGACAAGACGATGGCGGCTGCTGCAGTTATATTTAGTTTTTGGTATTTGTCTTCAGGAAATGGACGACACAGTGGCGCAGTTGGTAGTGCTGTCGCCTCACAGCAAGAAGGTTGCTGGTTCGAGCCTCGGCTGGGTCAGTTAGCGTTTTTGTGTGAAGTTTGCATGTTCTCCCTGCACTCGCATGGGTTTCCTCCGGATGCTTCGGTTTTCCCCACGAGTCCAAAGACATGCGGTACAGGTGAATTGGGTAAGCTAAATTGTCGGTAGTGTATGAATATGAATGTGTGTGTATGGATGTTTCCCAGAGATGGGTTGCAGCTGGAAGGGCATCCACTGCATAAAACGTGCTGGATAAGTTGGCGGTTCATTCTGCTGTGGCGACCGCGGATTAATAAAGGGACTAAGCTGAAAAGAAAATGAATGAATCTTCAGAAAATCACTGAAGGCATATATCATGTTATCATAACGATATAATATGGCAATAAGATCATACCTATACTGTGAATTTACACAGTTGCCATATTCATCTATGTAAAGACAACAAAAACCATATTAACATTATAGCAGACACTGTAAAAAGCCCAGCCACTAGACTTTTCTGACAGGGTATTCGAGCGTCATCAAGTGACAAAATGTTGTGGAACTGCTGTAGAGGAGTTATGATTAGGGATTATACATAGTGGAATTTTGCACTTTTTTATTTTAGCCCTTTTTTTTTTAGGAATGCCGGTAAAACACAAATGCAGTTATGAATATATTAAAACATGTGCTTGTTTGTTGTAAAAATTCATAACAATGACAAAAATACAAATTTGTGGATCTCCTTACATTCGGGTGCAGCTATGCTGTCGTTATGGCTGTTGTATTCTAGGAAATTTTTCTACCCCTTGGTTTCAAGTGTGGTCTTGAAAAATCTCAGTTGGGAGGGCTATTATCCCCATCCTCTTAGCCCTACACCTTTAAGCTAAAGAGAATTGATACACCACTACCAAAACGAGGGGTAGGGGTAAGGGAAAGGCCTAAAAAGTTGAATTGGGATTGGGCCTTAATGATAGGATGAATATACGGGAGAATCCCTGCAAAAACAGGAGAGTTGACAAGTATGAAGTGAACAGGAAGTGTTTGTGGAACAACAGTTTTGCGAGGGTACGCAAAAACTAAAATATATATATTTTCTATCACTCCCAATTTTTTTTTTTCCACCATCACGTCCCTTTCGGGTCTCCGCATAATCCTGATAGTATTCCGCCTTTTTTCAAAATGTAACTGTGATCTGATTACGCTGCTGTTACAAATTACAGTTACTAATTATCCTAGTTACATAATGTTGTTACATGTAATCTGTTATTCCCCAAGACTGCTAAAACGCACTGAAATTGAATATTGTGCAACAGACTGGGCTTTCTGTTGTGCATCCTTCTTTCTTAACAAACTAACTGTAAGACATGTCTGGTTAAGTTTATTGATATACAGCTGCCCTCATGTATCACTTCAATAGAAGTGCAGCCATACCAAATGAGGAAGCAAATTAAAATCAAATTAAATATAGGAAAAATTACTTACACATGACCATGTTCTTGCTTGCTTTACTTTGTGCATTATTCATTACTGAATTAAAATAGGTTTTGATAAAATTGTAATAGGGTTTTTAAGTGTAGGGGCGGGACTTACTGCATGGCCAATCAGAGCGTGAGCCATCTCGTGTCCCAGTATAAAGGTCAGCTGATGGATGTCAGTCACAGCATTCAGCATTCCTGTGAAGACGAAGATCTCTCCATTCTGACACACACACACACACACACACACACACAAACCAGCTGTAAAATGATTCATTTTCTCCTCTAGTAATCGGTATCAATCATCTGCTGTGAATTATGAACATTCTTTGCTCTCTTTATATTGAGTTTTAAATATATAAAGATTTGTTCACATACAGCGAAAGACTGCCCTCAAGTGAAATTGTAATTATTTTTCACATATATTGCAGGTTTTTGCTATGGAAATTTTCACTGTTTTTCCCATTACACTTTACATCTTCATTATTTAAGTTTGATTTGAAAAATAAAATAAAATCAATTAAAATAAAATAAAATAAAATAAAATAAAATAAAATAACAAACAAAACCAAACAAAACAAAACAAAACAAAACAAAATAAAATAAAATAAAATAAAATTAGGCAACGCAGTGGTAAAGTAGGTAGTGCTGTCGCCTCACAGCAAGAAGGTCTTAATTTATTAAGAATAAATTAAATTAAATTAAATCAGATATACTCTCTGCAGAGTTGCCATAAAAGATGCAACTTCTAAAAAAGAAGATTATTTGATAGGATAATGACTTAGGCGATGTTTCATTACACTGTAATAAAATTGTGTAATTGACTCACAGGCAAAACAAATGCATTCATGGTCGGGCTGTCGACTACATGGACTGTCCAGGGGACGGCAGAAATCTCAGCAATGTCCTGGTTCCTCTGGGCCAGAATCTGCACCACCTGCTCCACCACCTTATGCCTGGGGTCTGACGAAGCGATCAGAGAATCCTTAAACTCCTCCATAAACTGAGAGAAAACGGGAGTGAGAAAGAGAAGCAAGAGTCCACAAACTCTAATTGAGTTAAAGAATTAGTTTACAGGTCCCGTGCTTTGACATCTGCATTTTTTTTATTTAATGTTTGACATAACCTCAACTTAAAATTGAAGACAGGGTGGGACATCGAAAAGCCAATAGCACTTTTTATCACAGCTATGCCAGTGAAAGAGATGGAGATCAAGTGCATCAAATGAAAAACCAATGAGAAGTGTCTCAAAGAGGCAAGGCATGTTACATACTAGAGAGCATTTAATTGGTCAAGATTCATTGAGAAACTGAAGTATGAGGTGATGTGAAAAAAAAAAAAAGATTGATTTAGATGGAAATGACTACAAGCTTTGGGTGTTTATATCAGATCTATATTTTCTAAACACAAATTTTGGCACTGTTTTGGAGCACACAAGCTAATAAAGATCCTTAAAACTAACAGACTGAATTAAATGAACATCTATTTTTTTTTTAAATCCACAGAACCTTTAAATAAAACACCAAGTTAAAAAAAAAGATTGTTTTTCTTAATTGCTTATTTTGCACAATTACAACTTTTTCTGAATATCCAAATATCTGAAAAAAAAGCTGTTTTAAAAATGTGCAAACTGACACCGAGTACGGCACACACTTTGCACCAAAAAACACACTTACTTATACATCTTAGTATAAAAGCCTTCACTGTGTGATAAAGCTAGAATTCAGTTAGACTGATGCTAGAACTTATGAAAGCAAATACAATTTTATTTGTAATATCTGACATACTACCACCTTAAGAAATCAGAGCTTCTCCTACACTCTCAGAAAAAAAGGTGAAAATAAAATAAATATGACTGGAAACGCAAAGTGATTTTATAAATAATTTCTTAAAGAAAAAAACATAAACATTAATTTATTATTAATTCATTAAGTTCTATAATACAATATTACAAAACAACTGGTAAAACATATACTATAGGTATTGTAAACTAAACATTTAAGGCATTTTAAATAAATGTTTGTTCAACATTTTTGACACTGTTAAGGTACAAAGTGTCTTGTCACTGTGGCGGTACCTTTGTGGATCAGATTTGTACCTTTAATGAAGGAACAATTTTGTATCTGCAGGCTTTAAAAACCAAAGGTACATTTTGGTTTCCCATGGTACAAATGATGTCTTTAAAGGTAAAATGATTGATTAAAACCATTATGATTAAAAATGTTGAAAAAAATCTGCTCTCCGTTAAACAAAAATTGGGGAAAGAAAATAAACAGGAGGGCTAATAATTTTGACATCAACTATATAAGAAACACAACTCAATTTGTAAAATGAACAACAGAAATGACTAAAGTGTAATTAGGGTCTTACTGCATCTGCATTAAATTGCGCCAGTTCTCTGAAGTTCTTCCTGCTGAACACCAGCAGGCGAGTCCTGCCTGTTATTGGAGATTCATCCAGATGGGTGAAGAAGAAGAGAGAGGCGATGAACAGCAGACCCGTCCCAGCTCCCAAAAAGTGCCAGCGCCGACGCCACGACCACTCACGAAAAAGCTGCTTTTTATTGGCGGGCAGAGCAACCCACCACTTCCTGATGCTCCTAGAGGACAAAAAGAGAGACAGACCAAATCAGAGTCACAGATTGTACTATTTAACCTCACCTAACTCTCAAAATCCATGATTACATCTAAAATTAAGATACTTTTTTTGTAAAAATAAACAAATAATAATAATAATAATAATCATTCATTTTCTTGTCGGCTTAGTCCCTTAATTAATCCGGGGTCGCCACAGCGGAATGAACCGCCAACTTATCCAGCAAGTTTTTACGCAGCGGATGCCCTTCCAGCCACAACCCATCTCTGGGAAACATCCACCACACACACACACACACACACACTCACTCTCATACACTACGGACAATTTAGCCAACCCAATTCACCTGTACCACATGTCTTTGGACTGTGGGGGAAACCGGAGCACCCGGAGGAAACCCACGCGAAGGCAGGGAGAACATGCAAACTCCACACAGAAATGCCAACTGAGCCGAGGTTCGAACCAGCGACCTGGCCACTATTATGGCCACTGCCTCGCCATAACAATAACAATAATAATAATAATAATAATAATAATAATAATAGACTTATTGTGCATACATTAACAATTCTGCACACAACAAGTCATCTTGCATGCACAAAACATTATTATTTGAGGACAGAATTGTGGTGCAAGTATAACTCCATACGAAGGAGGCAGTAATAGTGTACGCTTTTACAAAAGATTTCTGTTTAAAATAAACGGTGCTCTTTCAATCTTTCTATTTATCAAAGAATGCTGAAAGCAATACATCACAGGGTTTATAAAAGTACCAACAGCACAGATTATGATAAAATAAGAAATTTTATGATTAAATAGAAATGTTAAAAGCAGCAAATACACTCAAAAAGGGAATTCACTGTTTGTTCAAACTGCTTATTTAAAATGAGTTAAAACAACAGGATTCTTGAGGTTCTTTTAGAGACAATTGTTTTATGTTCAATTTAAGTTAATTCCTTCATGTTGTACATATCAAGTGTGTGAAAGTCAGTAATTTTTACAGTGTAACCATTATGAAGTAGTTTATTATTTGACACGGCAAACTTATGATGAAAATTCAGCTTTGCCATCAGACTTAATTTTAAAACAATATTTAATTTAACTGTTAATTAAAAATGTTATATTTCACAATATCATATTATCTATAACGGTATATATATATATATATATATATATATATATATACACACACACACACACACACACACACACGCACACGCACACGCACACGCACACGCACACGCACACGCACACGCGCATGCATACATACATACATACATACATACATACATACATATAGTTGAAGTCAGAATTATTAGCCCAATATTTCCCAAATGATGTTTAACAAAGCAAGGTAATTTTCACAGTATGTCTGATAATATTTTTTCTTTTGGAGAAAATCTTATTAGTTTTATTTTAGCTAGAATAAAAGCAGTTTTCAATTTTTTAAACACCATTTTAAGGACAAAATTATTAGCCCCTTTAAGCTAATTGGTTTATCGATAGTCTAGAGAACAAAATATCATTATACAATAACTTGCCTAATTACCCTAACCTGCCTATTTAACCTAATGAACCTAGTTAAGCCTTTAAATGTCACTTTAGGCTGTATAGAAGTGTCTTGAAAAATATCTAGTAAACTATTATTTACTGTCATCATGGCAAAGATAAAAGATATAACTTATCAGAAATGAGTTATTAAAACTATTATGTTTAGAAATGTGTTGAAAAAATATTCTCTCCGTTAAACAGAAAATGGGGAGAAAAATAAACAGGGGGGCTAATAATTCTGACTTTAATACAGTATATATATATATATATATATATATATATATATATATATATATATATATATATATATATATATATATATATACATACTGTAAATAAGAATATTTTCTCCTGAAATGATTAATAATTAACATCTTTTTAAAGATCGATTTTAAAACATCACTGGAATAAAAGAAACACACACATGAATGAATATTAAATCTTCTAATAATCATAAAATAATGAAAACAAATAGCGAATTGATTAAACAAGTCTTAATTGATATTAATAAATAAGAACAAAAAACACAAAAAAAACTACAAATTAGATGAATAATTGCATAAACGTGTCAGGACTCCAGGCTGATCAGCTGATTCTATCTGTTTTGCTATTAGCCACATGTTCCTTTGTTTGTGCTTCTGATTGTTTCTCTTCACCTCCACGTTCTCATTCATTTAGTTGATTTGTTTTACCAGTCTTTGTTCATTACTCCTCATTTCTCCCCTATTTATTCTTTGTTTGTGCTATTCATTGACAGATTGTAGTTTGCTTCTGACACTACAACATTAAACATAGGTGAACTCATTGATAATAGTTGACCTATTTGTGCTTGACTCCAGGACTCTCTCTCAACATTCCCAGCCTTTCTGTATGTACTGGACACTGGCCTAGTTCTGACTATTACACCTGCCAACTGCTTCTACTGGCCAGTCTATTTCAAGTCATTCTCCCCCAACTTTTTCTTTTGTGGTTTTGTTTCCATTTTTTGGACTGAGTAGTTTATTATTATAATGAGAAGACTTCTTGCTAAAGAGCATTTTGTTTCCCATTTGTTGGACTGAGTTTGTGTGTCCTTTTTCTCCCTGAGATATTTTGTTTTCTATAAAAAAAATTATCTGCTTTTGTTTTGTTTTTGTTTTTGTTTTGTTTTTCTGTTTACTGGCCACGTCAACATGAACTAAACTATGTATTATGTTGAGAGAGAGAAAAAAGTTACATGAAAATAAATATTTCCCAAATAATATTTTAGATCTATTTGCGTAAACTGGATTTTTACACCATAACAGGACCTTTCAACATTTTAAAATGACAAGGCTTTCTCGTTTAAGCATATTCTCATATTCTCAATGGTGTTATGTCATACATATGATTGAAAAGCTCCATTTTAAATACTCACCTGCCCAGTATGATGGCCATGATCTTCTGCAAGGGCTTCAGCACCATCCATAGCAGCGGTAAAGCAGGTAAAGCTCTCCGCCTGCCGGAGGTGTGGAAGCCGCGCGTGCGCTGAAAGACCACCGGCGCCCGAAGAGCTGCTGGAGCTCCAGTCTTGAATGAACTTGAACATAAACCGAGTCTGGAGGACCCGAGACTGACACATGAAGCAGAGAAACTGACAGATCCTTTTAGCTTTGGTAAGGAAGAGGAGTCTATCTTTATAAAGTAAGTCCGAGCAGATATAAACAGTGACGGACGGCAGTGAAAGAGTCTCTGTGCGCAGCATCTGATCGCTGAATGTGTCCGAAACCTAGTTAAAGTGGACAACATGTCGAGTTTGACAAGGCGAATACAAGTCTGCTGCATTCTGAATCTACAGTACGCTTAATTTTCAAGTTTTATCTTGTTTGCTAATTATAGTGGCCAGCAAAGTCACAGTTGTAAGCACATATGGCTACATTATGCAATAAAATGACACAATATATATCTAATGTCACTCTTTTGAAGCAAGTGCTGATATGTGAAGTCCACATAAGTGTTATAATCGACTGACGTTACATTTCAATTAGATCGCTAAAACTTCGAGTGTGGCTAACTCCTCTAGAGCGCAATAATTATGCTCATTAATTAATTATAAAGTTTATATCTGTCTGGTTTGAGAAGTTCTTCATTCAATGTACTGTTGTCCTCGAAACTCTCCTCAGGTGCGGCACTTAAAACACTCCGTGTGCGAACAACGACCCCTCACAAGAGTTCCGACTGTCAGTAATCGTGCCAGGGTCTTTGACTGACTGAAAGTCTATGACTGTACTTCAAGATAGTGTTTATTTTTACACTTTTCGTCAATACTTGGATGCGTTGCTCATTTGACAATTTCGCTTAATTAGTCTTTTAATTACACTTTTGTTGTAGCATTTCGATTTTTAAAGGGCACCTACTTAACCCGTTTTTCAAGATTTAAGATAAGTCTTTTGTGTCTCCAGAATGTGTCTGTAAAGTTTCAGCTCAAAACACCAATCAGATTATTTATAAGACCTTTCAGAACATTAGAATATCCTGCTCTGAACACAATGTAGCTGTTTTTGTTGCTTGTGCCTTTAATGCTAGTCCTCCCCACCCACTGTTCCCACGCACCTGTCAGAGTGTGCCTTAAGCCTCATTCACACTACAAGCAACCGTTCATTAAAACAAAGAGCAAGTGACTTCTGACGACCTCCATCTACGCAAGCGACAGCAAGCGAAAGCTGAATTCTTCAAAACTTTATGCAAATGAAGAGCGAATTTCTTGAGCGACGTAGCCAATAGGAGCACCAGTAGAGCTCACGTGATCCTCTCTCAGCTTGCTCAGAGACCAGTTGTATTCAAGCTGTATAGACCTAGACCAGGGGTGAGCAAACTCGGTCCTGGAGGGCCAGTGTTTCCAATCAAGCACACCTGCTTACAGATTTCTAGTGATCCTGAAGACACTGATTAGTATGTTCAGGTTTGTTTGATTAGTGTTGGAGCAAAACTTCGCAGGACACCGGTCCTCTATGACCGAGTTTGCCCACCCCTGACTGAGACGGTGACAGACATGAAGCAGATCTCACGTAACGTTTGTGAGAAATACTACAGTGAGAACTTTCCCAATGATTATTTGATGTATTTATTGTGAGTTAATGAGCCGATGTGTCACACACAATGTCGTTCCAAAATTCATGCACACACACCTTGCTGTTTATGCACACACATGTAACAGGATACACGTTAATATCTACCACTGTATGGGTATCCTGATTTAGCGTCCACAAACCTGGATTAAAGCTGTGGTGATAAAGATGGTAAAGTTGCTGTAATCATTACAAACATGCACCGTTTTAAAAATGTTTTTAATATGTAAAACTCATTCTTGATCACATTTGATGATGATTGATGATCACAGAGAGCTTAACTGATCTTTTAATGCCAGTTGCTTCGCACATGCCCTGTTTTGTTGATATGATTATGTTACTACAGAGACATGCTAATATGCCGCTGTCAATCAATACAGTGGGCGGGGAAACCGCACTCCCACATCACATTGCGGTGGACCTCAGAACGGTAATGATTTGGATCCTATTTTAATTTTAAAAAGAGACTTATTGTCTTTATATCACTCCAATATGACTGTGGACACACTATACCTACACACTGTTCTGTCCAAACAGCTTACTAAAGATGATTTTCATCAGATGCCTTTTAAGTTGATCACACTTATTAGAGTGGGATTCATCTACTTATTAAAGAGAGAGCACATATTTTCATTAATAACTTCTTGAAGCATATTTATACACATATGTATTACTTTTTATTCATTTATTTGAAACTTTGACCTAAAATCTCAGGAGGGCTTCAAATAATGGGGTTTAGTTACAAAAATTGAACCCCTAATAACATGTTTGAACATTAATATGTTTTTTTAAACCTCAATTACAGTACATAACGCTGCCAACGCTTTCTAGATGTAAAACAAGTAGGGTAAAACAAGTAAATTCAATGTGAATAATTATTTGATGTAATAACATAACCCATTAAAAAAGCACCTCATTTGACTGAGCATATTTAAAACAGTAATATAATCCAATTACAAGTATATTTGGTAGTTATCTATATTAAATAAAAAAAGTTCCAATACCCACCATTAGTTACTATCCAAAAAAGCTATAAGTGTTTATCTGCGAATGCTGAAAGGTGACTAAAATGAACCATGAAAACCTTTCACCAGTCATAAAAGTCAATTCTTTACTCCAATATTCAATCCATAAAAACGTCCTTGCACAATTGTGATCGAACTGCAATACAAAATGGGTCTACAAAACTGAGTGTTGAACTTATATTTAAATTTTAAAACCTTTAAAATGCACCTTTGTGGTTAAAATCAACTTTTATGAAAACTAAATAATATTTAACCTATAAAAATTGTTTCATACAGTTTGTGCGATGCGATACATACTTCTCTACAGGTTTCTTTTTGATACGTTCTTCTGGTCAAATTGTTAGCTTTGCTGTTATCATTTACACAGTTTCTGCACTGGTAGACTGCATAACAGTCTCGTCATGCTCTTCTTCAACGCAGCTCTGCTCAAGTTTGTCAGGTCCTGTGGTATTTGGTTCATCGTGGCCGTCAGACGTCTCCTCTGTAGCGCTGCTGCTGATGGGCTCAGAGGAGAGGAAGGACAGTAACTGAGGCTGTGTTGCAGTTTCATACAGATGAGTAGAGGAAGAGCCGGTCTCTGAGAGAAAATGTGTGTTGAACAAGCTTTCTAGCTGTACCAGAAAAGTCTCGATGTCCACTTCTGAGAGTCTCTCTAAAACCGTCCGGATTGATAAGAGCATCTGTGAACAGAGACAAAAAAATAAATAAGAAATTGGCAATTTAATTCCACAAAATTAGCATTATTTGTGCTAAACGTTAGTGTGAAATCAAAAAGTACAATGTTTATTAGCTGAGCAATTACAGTTTTTTTCCAATTGTTTACACACAATTACTTGTACTTCAGACACAATGACTACAACATGTAACTGATGCACCAACCCCCTGAACCAATTCTGCTGAACTACAAGCACAATTCCTGCTTTACACTCAAATTGCAGGTTTAAGACACACTTTTTTTCAAAACACTACACACAATTCTCTGCATTTTGCACAATTTTCATGCAGAAAATCTATTGTTTTCACAAGGAACACACTGCCATTCACAATTGTAAAGTCAGTTGGCCTACTTTGCATACTAACTCATCACATGAGTAAACACCTGTCACACAAAAATGCAATTTAGAAATCAGAGTGCATCTGGTTCATAACTAGTTTACTGCCCACCCATGTTTTTTAGTTGTTTATCTCCCACCCATATTCTCCATTCCTCAAACCTATTGAGGATTTTTTTTCTTGATCGATCCAGCACCCAAACTCTCACTCTACTTCACCTTCTCCCCGGAGCACCAGAGCACCTACCCCAAGAAAAGCACCGTATTTACCTTGTTTCACGTTACTCACTTTGTAAATAAATCAACCTCTGGGGACCTGTTTGTAACACAACGCTACTGTGTGTGTGTTTTCCCTCTGCCTTGCTACATGTCAAAAATATAAACACTGTTATAAATATGTTGTTCGCTGTTGGTTCATGTTAGTTAGTACATTAACATTAACTAATGGAAAGTGTTACTCAATAATAATATTACTACCATCATAAATTGAACAGCATCCTAAAATGTGACTGTGATGTGGACTGAGACACACAAAAAGGAATCATATTGACTAACTTCAAAATATAAATTTTTAGTTAATATTTTATGCTAATAAAATACCTGACGATTCCCAATGCTAGAGAAAATGCCTTTTAATTTGCAGAAAAAAGTAACAAATAAATATGTAAACTATTTTAGCATTCATTGAATTATTCACTGTAAACCATTAGTATAAGTATTCAGTTTTTGTAGGATTTCGCTCATGGTCTCATGCTATCATCTTTAGAACATCTTTGAAACTTTTACATATCACTCTTTCTTCATATTCAAGCAATTTAATTAGCCGGTTTGTCAAAAATGAATTAGAAACTTTACCTTCTCCAGGCAAGTCAGTGAAGAATCTCTTCGAAAAAGCCTGTCCATTGGTACACTCCTGAAAGAATGAAAAATAATGAACATACGTCAGTGGTAAGCAAGCTGTGGACAAATGGTGGACATTTTATATTATCATGTATAATATCATGTATTGAAAAAATCTCATCCTATAATGTGGCTGGTAAGATTTTTAAAAATGGTTTTAAAACACAACACACATTCTAACCAAGGCTACATTTGTTCTATTAATAATACTGTAAAATTATGTGAAATGAGACAAAAATGATAAATAATGTTTTTTGTATTTCTGTATATATTATTAAATGTAATTGATCAATGATGTTGAATATTTATTACAGAAGTTAAGTTAGGTTGGCATCAGCCTGTGTTAATATGAGAAACGACAGATGGAAACGTCAAATTTCATATAAAAATATCATAATTTTTTTATGCTCGCTTGAGGTGGTTTTGGACTGGTTGATAGGTTACCAATACTACAGTCAGCCACTCACTTAATGAAACTGCACTTATTTTTTGGAACTTGGAAACAATTCATTTCAACTCTGGTTAAAAATCACTGGTTTACATTACATTTTAGACAGAACAATACTATTGTTGTAGCTTCAGAAGATTTTATTTTCAAGATTTCAGAATCAATATTTGGTGATTTTTCAATCACGGCAAAAATGTATTTTCTGAAAAAATAGTAAATTTTAAAAACAATTATATATATATATATATATATATATATATATATATATATATATATATATATATATATATATATATATATATATATATTAGGGATGCAACAATACAGTTAGCTCACGGTTCAATACATACCTCGGTTTTTTAACACGGTTTTCGGTTCTCATGACTTGACACGTGTTTTTTTTTATTCTATAGGCAATAGGAACAGTAAGTTATTAAGGAGAGAAAAATAAAAACGATTTATTGAAATACTCATTTTGTTTTACTTAAAAACCAAGAAAAGTACAAGTACAAGTACAAAGTACAAGTACAAAGTACAAGTACAAGTACAAAGTTCCTATTGTATTGTATCAAAAAATTAACACTGAAATCTCACAGCCGCTGGAGGCCCAAGTGCAAACTGGGAAACACATAAAACCCTACACTTTGAAAATAAACATACATGTGAAGTTAATAAAGAGAAATTGGCCATTTCAAATAAACATATTTGTACTTAAGTAAACATAAATAAACCATCTTAATTATCTCAGTGCTGAAAAAATAGGAGACTGTAGTCTGTAACGCGGGTCGAGTGCTTTTATAAAATGACAAAAGCCTGTATCTCCAATCACTGAAAACGGTTGCAAATCTTTAGCAATAAACACCCGCACTGCCTTTTTTTATTTTTATGTGTCTCTCAGAACCAGTTGGGTAGATTCAGCGAGGGATTGTTGCTATTTGGAGGACTTTATTACCTTCTCTGCTACTCTGCCTTCAGACAGTGATATTGCTGGGTGATGGCGCTACAGATGTGCAGTCATGGTTATACGTGTAAAACAACACTTGCACACAGTTATTTTCCGTTCACTGTTTTTTTTTTTTTTTTTTTTTATTGGCATTACCGGCAAAACCGAAATGTCCTCACACCGCAGATTTGTTGCCTCAGCCTCACTTCACCGCCGCTCACAATGTTAAAGTGTGGAATGATAGTCAAGCGCCCCTAACTTTAGAGCATAGTGATTGGATATTTACTTGCGGAGAGGAGTTTCCGCATCTCAGCTCATGGATTAAGAGCCACACAGTCAATTCGGGGAGATAAATGCACAGAAATTATTTAAACGCAAAACCGAGAGAACTGCAATTTACAAGTGCGTATTGAACCATGGAGGTCGTACCGTACGGTTCACTATTATATTGAGAACCGTGGCATCCCGTGTGTTTATAAATATAATAAATAATTGGGAACAAATGTTATTAAACCTGTATTACATAGCTGTCTAAAATACTTGATTCTAATCGGTCAACAACAACATTCTATGGTATGTAATTCCCAGACAACTAACTGAAACCAATAACACAGTATCATCTGGGTACTACAAATCATCTTAACTGAAGTGTATATATTAATATACATATTTAGATGTATATACACATCATCATCTGTCATGCTGCTATTCTTGTGCAATCTTCCAACTGAATGATGATATAGGTAGGATAGTTTATGCTGCGTTCAGCCATTTGAGACATTTTTAAGGAGTTCAAACAAAGGTGCTAGTAAATTATTACAGCTCAGATCAATGTTTTGTGTCTAACTATTTACTTTTGGGGCAAGCACCTGTGTACTAAGCAGGATAATGTACATCCAGCTAGTTTGTTTTTGCAGATTAAAGCCCTAATAAGCCTGTTGGCCTTTATTCCGTAAGAACAACCGGCTAGATGTACATTATCCTTTACTTATAAAATAAAAGAAATATGAACATTTTACTTAATAAATCCTGTAATTCCAGAGAAACTAAGAATTTTCAAGTGGTCTTAGAACTCTTTCCTTATATATGTATAAAACAAAGTTAGAAACATACCACATTAAACTATTATTATATACACACATTGCCCCTAACAACAGAACTAAGCAGTAATAAAAAAAAATGTTGCCTTTAATATCATGCAGCCTGTTTTTATTTTTTTTATTTATTTATTTTTTACTTTATAGTCATATTTACATGTATTTATTTCTTCTACATCAAACACACAACTTACCCATGACACAGCCTGTATTTGAACACCACCCATTCTGCTCTTCTCATCACTTCTGACCAATCAGGAGGCTCGGCTGAACACTGCATGTTGAACTGATAGGGAAACTCTAAAACACAAATAATCCACTTATATTCACACACATAATACAGACTGATTCAAATTCAACTGGAGCTTTTGCTGACCTTCTTTTATTATTTACACATCTGCTCATCTATTCTTCAGCAGTTACGACTCTTTCCACAAAGACTATTAAACATTTACAGAACACAGATAACCTGGTGAAATAAGTGTTGAAGCAGCTGTAAGTCATTGACATACTGTGAGATCCTGAGGGTCCGGGCTCCTCCTGGACCAGCAGACAGGTGGACTGAGACTGAGGGGAGGAGTTACTGGGGTTATAAGGGCTGACGATCATTCCGATAAACGGAGCACCTCCTCGAGAGAAATAACTCTGCGATTAAAACAAACAACACCACCGTCTTAGTTCAAAAACTGTTATAGGGTAATTTAAAAATGTGTGTGGAAAAAAAAGTTCATACAGGTTAAAAATGACAAAATGAGAAGAACCACGTTACACTATGTTTTTTCGATGTTTTATTATCTTATTTCTGTATTTTGAATCTGAAACATTTTCACAATGTAAAAAAAGTAGCCAGCATTGCAGAATCTAGACATAAAACTGAATTTGTATTGTGACTGAATCCGCTTGTTAAGCGTAATGTAAAGGATTTAATACAATTTATCCTCAGATTTTAATCCAAAGACTTTTACATCACTTTCAACTGAGGGTGCTTTCACACCTGTGAATCAATTCAGTTGTTCCGAAACAGAGATTACAATTTTTACATTGTTGTTTTTTGCTCTTGGAGCGGTTCGCTTTCACACTGCAAAGTTTCTAATCGGACCAAAAGAGCTAAAACAAGTCACGTGCGAGTAAACTCTCCTTACATTGAGAGTCAGGGTTTATTTTGCAGCGTCCCGCTAAGCTGTCAGGAGAGGTGGTGGTTTGGTGGTGATTGACAGGGTGCGCGCGCGACGTGTCTGAGGAGAGATGCGGTGAGGAGGGATGAGAAGGGTGCGCGACGATGCCTATTTGAGGACCAGGAGTGAGATGAGAGATTACCGGGAGATCATCACTCATTTATGGGCATCCAGAGACTCGCGAAACTTCCCGCCATACTCATAATTCTCTCTTCATTTAGCCGTAAGCCTATTACATATCCATAAAATACTGTGATATAACCGCGCTCGGATCGGATCGCTTTCTCACTGCAATCGAACCGCTCCAGGGTTCGTTTCAATCGAGCCGAGACCACCTCATTTAAGCGATCTCGGAGCGATTACTTTGGCGCAGAACAGAGCGCGATTGCCCTGTTCACATATGCCAAACGAACCGCGCTAACTGGGCAAACGAGACACGTTCCGAAACAAAAGTGTAGGTGTGAAAGCACCCTAAGTAACAATCGATTTTAGACTTTTAGACTTTTTTAACCAATACAACACAAAGAGTTTGATTAAATGGTTCCCTGTCAGAAAGCCTGTGCTCATTCACCGGATCACCCCAGAGGTGTGTGTTGTCCCCACTTTTATTAATTCTGTACGCATACATGTGTCATAGTACATTTATTTTGAAATATGCAGACAGCACTGTGATTGTAAGCTTCCTCCAAAAAGATGAAAATAGTCCATAGTGGATCATTTTATTCAGTGCTGTGAGGAGTCTAATCTAAAATTTAATGCAACAAAAACTAAAGACATGATTGTTGATTGTAGAATGAATTATACAGCAGCTGAGGTGACTAATATCAGGGGTCTAAAAGTAGAATGTGTTGAGAACTACAAATATGTGGGTACCATTATTGACTGTTTTTAAGGCAAACTGCGAAGCCGTGTAGAAGAAGGGGCATCAGCAGCTTTTTTTCTTTCAGGAAACTATCACCTTTTCACATTGGCCCCAATATGCTTACTCTTTTCTATTGTGCTTTTATTGAGTCTATTTTATCCTTCGTTCTGGTGGCATGGTTTTGATGTCTCTTCCTTAAAAACAGGAATAACTGAGCCAGGTTATTAGGTGGTCTAGCAGATTGATTGGTGAATAACAGCTTTTACGGATTGCCCAGAACATTAGTAGCTGTAGCTCTCATCCTCTGTCTGAAGAGTTTAACCTAATCCTTTCAGGTCAAAGGTTTCAGATGCTTTACAGTAGGACAAAACGTTACAGTAATAGCTTTGTACGATCATCTATCATCGCTCTGAATAAATTGTAATATTTTATAATGTACTTTTGTATCTGTATATGTGGGTACATTTATGTATGATTTAAGTGTTTGTATCAAATGTCAAACTTGGGGTGACGCAGTGGCGCAATAGGTAGTGCTGTCGCCTCACAGCAAGAAGGTTGCTGGTTCGAGCCTCAGCTGGGTCAGTTGGCATTTCTGTGTGGAGTTTGCATGTTCTCTCTGTGTTTGCGTGGGTTTTCTCTGGGTGCTCCGGTTTCCCCCACAGTCCAAAGACATGCGGCACAGGTGAATTGGGTAGACTAAATTGTCCGTAGTGTACGAGTGTGAATGAGTGTGCATGGATGTTTCCCAGAGATGAGTTGCGGCTGGAAGGGCATCCATTGCGTAAAACATGTGATGGATAAGTTGGAGGTTCATTCCGCTGTGGCGACCCCGGATTAATAAAGGGACTAAGCCAAAAAGAAAATGAATGAATGAATGAATATCCTTAATGATCTATCACCCCTTTAAAAACTTTAAAATAATACAATTTTAAATGAACACAAATATTAGTTTGTTGACTTACAAACATGATCTATGTTTTTATCATTTTTACAAAAAAAATATTTATTTTTAATTTTTTTTTTTTTTTTATATTTCGAAACGTGCATAAAACCTTAGTCTAACTTTCACTTTTGTGTGAACAAAAACTACAGACAGCCTGAATGAAAATGTGCATCCATTTCGACAGGTGGTGCTTACAGAAAGGCAGAAATGCTAGAAGGTAATTACCTCTGGTATTTCAAATATTACACTTTAATGACTAATAAAATGCTAAAATAAACTGTCAATAATTTGGTTGATCGTTAAATTGGTATCAGTTTCATTAGTACACAATCTAAAGTGGTTGTAACCCCCAGCCCCAGGTTGAGAAACAACTGCTCTAAATTATAATACATGTACATTATCAGTAGTTCATAAAATAAAACACAAATAAAAACTGTTCTCTAAACTCATATATTTTAGATAAATCTGACAAATCGAGAGAACCAGTAAAAATTTTTAAGTACTTTCCTAGTTTTTCCAGAGCTGTAAATTTTAATAGTGCCCCTAAAACTTTCTAATGCACCTCTAATTTTTTTGATGATAATAATAATAATAATAATAATAATAATAATAATAATAATAATAATAATAATAATAATAATAACAACAAAACAAGTATTACCTGGTATTTGGCCTGAGTGTCAATGTCTCTGAGAGAAGGGTTTGGGTCAAATGCCGGATGAGAATGATACCAACCAACCACACTGAGACCTTTAACCCCGAGCACCTCTGAAGCCTGAGTCTGAGAGACAGGGTCCATCTCACACTGCAGACCTGTGCTCAGACTATTACACGGCTCTGCTGAACAGATCTACACAGAAAAATATCATTTAAAATGAATGGATAAATCAACAGACTCCACTGATTCACAAAATGTATAAATGAACTGACCTTTAAGACCTTGTCCTCCTCTTCATAAGTTCCCCCTAAAAGCCCAATGACCTCTCCCATAGACACATGAGCATGCTGGAAGAGGATGTGATGATTAGTTGATTAGCAAAAAATAAAAATAATAATGAAAAACACAGATAGCATCACCGTGTCATACTTACTATGTCCATCACAATAAGAGCCTCGGCACAAACGATCACACTGTACGGCTCCTGAGATGATACAGACAAGAGTGAATGCAATGCAACAAAAAAAAGTTTTAATTAAGTAGTCTTGTGAAAACCTATTATGTTTATTAATATTTTGAATCAGTTTTTTTTTTTATATATTTTGCATTGAAATTGTCCGTCTTACAATACGTTTTTAGTAATATAACTTTTAGAAATTGTATTTTTATTATTTTTATTTATCTTTTCGGTTAATTATCATTTTTAAATATGTGTACTGTATTTATTAATGTTTATTTTAGATTTAGTTTCTACAGTTTATTAGCTTAAATACAATAGGATGCAATTATCACATACGGTTGAATTCAGAATTATTAGCCCGCCGGATATATTAGCCCTTGTTTGTTTGTTTTTTTAAAGAAAAGATTTTTTCAACAAATTTTTTAACATAATAGTTTTAATAGCTCATTTCTAATAACTGATTTATTTTATCCTTGCCATGATGAGAGTAAATAATGAGTAATGAGTAAATGAGTGTTTTCAAGACACTTCTATACAGCTTTTATAGAAGTGAAGAAATTGAAAGGGTAGGTTTAAAATACCCTCAAAAAAAAAAAATCAAATAGGTTTATAAGGTTAACTAGGCTGGTTAGGGTAATTAGGCAAGTTATTGTATAATGATGGTTTGTTCTGTAGACTATCAAGAAAAAAAATAGCTTAAAGGGGCTAATAATTTTGACCTTAAAATAGTGTTTAAAAAATTAAAAACTGCTTTTATTCTGGTTGAAATAAAACAAATAAGACTTTCACCAGAAGAAAAATACATCAGATAAATCAAGGTCAAAAATAAATCAATTATAATAAATTATAAAATAATAAAAATATATAAATAAATGAAAATAAATCAGACATACTGTGAAAATTTCCTTGCTCTGTTAAACATAATTTGGGAGATATTTAAAAAAGAAAAGAAAATTCAAAGGGGGGCAAATAATTCTGACTTCAACTGTAGTTCAGCTAGTTGCCAAGACAACATCACATTTTCGTTTAGTTTAACTTGTTTTTATTTTAAATAACAAAATGCTGTTTATCTATTACTATTATTCTGTTATTATTTTAGGTATTTTAAATTATTTATGAATATTATATTTTTTCTTTGCATTCATCCTTGTATGTATATTTTACCACTGCACATTTTATATGTCTGTTAAGTGCCTTGATATGCTACTTTTAAAGGCGCTATATAAAAATAAATTTTATTATTATTATTATTATCGTTAGTTTTAGTTTACTTTCATGTACACAAATTATGGGGATTATTGATTTTATAAGAAAGCTGGACAACATTACATAATTTTAGTGTGTGTGATAGTCGTTTAATGTGTAGAAAAACCCAATTGACAGTAGTTTTTATTCCAAATGATATTAGACAGTATTAAACAAATGCATAAAAACTAATAGCATGTGCGGTATGAATTACATAGACTATTCAATTGTCCTAAATAGACTAATCCTGCCAACTAGGTACTTAAAGCTGTAACAGTTGAATACACAAAACCCTTTTTTTCAGTTAAGATGCTATAAAATCTAACTATATAAATGTATTATTTTGCTAACTAAAACAAACTCCTATTCTTTAGGTAAACAGTTAATCAGTGCAAGTTAATTAAAAAAAAAAAAATGTTAACGTAATCTTTATTCCAGCCACATAATGAAATATACAGTTCCCACCTAATTCAAGGACTTTCAAGGACTTTTGAAACCACCAATAATTTTAAATTGAGCAACTTTTTAAATTCACAGCCCCAGCATATACTGTATAGCAACATGAAAGTCTTCCAGTAGTCAACATTTCATTTCCACTTAATATTTACATTAAAACATCACAGTAAAGATGTTGTTTTCAATGTGTTATTTTCATAAATGTAGACTGTTTTTAACATGTTCAAAAAACTTTAATACAATTAATTGAATTCAATACTGGTATTATTCAAATATAATTTCTGAAATATTGATAACAGGTGTATTATTTGTCATATTTAAATGTAAGATTGTCATTCAGTTTTAAAAAGCAGCGCAGTAAAACTGAAAAAATAACACTATAAAATTTATATTCAAGCACTTTCAAGGACCTATGTTTGTTTTTAGGTACTTTCCATGCCTAGAATCCGTATGTCTTAAATCAGGGGTGTCCAAACTCGGTCCTGGAGGACCGGTGTCCAGCATATTTTAGTTCCAACCCCAATTAAACACACCTGTACCAGCTAATCAAGCTCTTTCTAGGTATACTAGAAACTTCCAGGGAGGCGTGTTGAAGGAAGTTGGAGCTAAACTACTCAGGACACCGGCCCTCCAGGACCAAGTTTGGACACCCCTGTCTTAAATGAAGTATTTTCAAGTACTTTCAAGAAGTGTGGGAACCCTGATAATAAACTATTTATCAATTCTTTGTACATAAATTATGTTGATTTATTAAGTTAAAAGTTAACACTGGTTTCTATGTAAAAACAGAGCCATGATCAAACTAAATGTGATAATTACCTGTCTTTCCTCTCCAAACGTCTTGCATGGAATGAGCTGGAATGGATCAAAAGAGCTGCGGAGAACAAAATCAAGAAATCAGTACAGATTGTCTTGTTAATTCTTGTTAATCCAACCACTAGTCTTGTCTTGTCTTGTATGTCGTGCTCGAGACATCATGCATGTCATGCCCAGCTCCAGTTTTCTTGGGCTGGGCACTCACCCTGCCTTGGATTGTGTCTTATGTTGTTGTTGTGAACACGTGAGTCTTGAGTGAGTAGCGGGTTTGTGTCTTTGTAGCGATTGAGCGCGTGCCCCAGAGGAGGCTTAGTTCACGCGTGCTCACTTGCCCTCGTGTTTGTTCTGCCTGCAGCGTGGTTTAATTCTCAGCATCTCAGTCTAGTTGGTTTCGGTTTCTGTTGCCGCTGAGATAAAACATGCACATTGCACGTGTATTTTTTTATTCATCGTGTACTCGTGTCTTGTTTTCTGTTAGTGCTGTTAAAGCACATGGCCTGGTGTTTAGATTGTGGCCGTGTGTTTTAGTGTCATGTTTGATGTGAATGTGTGGTTAATGAGTTCTTTCATTGGTTGCCTGTTCTAATTTCATTTAACGTGAGCACATGGCTTGTGTTGTTTCTTTGTGTCTATTGTCAAGTCCCAACCTCCTTATTAACCCATTATTAGTTTATTATGTTCACCTGTTTGTTTGTTAATTATTTCTGCTTATAGTCTCCTCTTGTCTGCTGTTCTGTACCAGTTCATTGTCGTTCATCGTCTTGTCCTGTTCCGTCCTGTCCTATTCTGTTCTGTCCTGTCTTGTCTTCTAGCCCTGACCTCTGCCAGCCTGCTCAGTCAAGTTTGTTTATTTGTTTAGTTAATATTTTTCCACCTCAGCGTAGTTTTTAGTTAGTATTTTCCCCTTCGGCATAGTTTTTCTTTTTGTTTTATTTTCATTATTAATTAACCCCTTTGAGTTCCTGCACTTGAGTCCTCCCTCCTTTGCCCACCCCCACCAATCATGACACAGATTTCATTAGGCCCATAAACAAGTTAAATAAACAACTAACTACATTTTAATGATGTTCAGTTATGGACATTAATGGCTTCTGTTATGCAAGCGTGTGTGTGTACCCTCTTTGTTTGGGGAGTTTTGATGGTCTTGGTCCTTTCTTCTTCATTTCTTCTCTTCTGATGGCCAGCTCTTCTGCGCTTAGATGCTGGATGATAAAAAATAAATAAATAAATAAACATGTATCTATTTATAGTTATATTAATAGTAATATTATATAGTAATATATATGTATATATATATATATATATATATATATATAGTTAAATTAATATTGTATAATTATAACAGAGTATAATAATATAGTTATAATATGAATATAACAAAGTAGTTATAATAACAAAACAGTTTCTAAAATGTATTTAATGCCAATTAAATGTTCATTTTTGCATTTTTCCTCATATACATGCATAAAACAATACTGTAATACTGCCACTGTAAACCATAATCATATTTATTATACATCATTTTTTTAATAATCTTTCAAATTCATTCAAATCTTCTCACGCCACAAACAATCAGACCTGGAGATATTCTCTATAGATTATACTTTGATTCTGAAAATAGTTGACACATTTTGAGTTGCGTTACCTCATATGTCTGACCCTCCAGATCTTTAGCGTCACACCAATTCCCCCACACATCCCGAATACGACGTTTCCGCGTCCTCTGCAAAAAAATGTAACAATCATTTAACAAGATGAAGAAATACGAAACTAGTTGCGCTAAAAGTTAATTATTGATAATGACTATGTTTACAGGGACATCAGTAATCAAATTATTTGCCTTATTCTGAATAAGACAATAGTATGATTAAGGAGTTTACATGAGTTGTTTTTTTTTTGTATTTGTTGGTTTTAACTACAGTTTGGCACTTTCACTTTCATTCATGAACATTTCATGCATGCCCCCCATGACAAATGAGATATTGGATGCTAGTATGAACTGCTGGAAGAGTGTTATTTTAATGGAATTTTATACTGCACGCCGTATGGGGAAAAAAAAAACTCAGCATTTTGCAATGAAGGTATCTGTGGTCAGGTGTGGTCGGTAGGTGTAGAGAATAGTGTCAATTGACCATGTGTATGCAATATTCTGTCAGAAAAAAAAGTGAAAATCCTACATGACGGTAATAGTTTAATTGTGGTGTTTACATGTCTGTACTGCACTTCAATATTGCGACTAAAATCGGCATACTCCACATGTCTTAATCCAATTTCTGTTTAGTTCGATTGTGACATTAATTGGATTAAATGAATAAAAAAATAAATAAATAAAAAAAATCGCTGTTTACATGGTAGACTCTTAATCAGAGTATTGTCTTAAGTGAAGTTTATTTATAAACTAATTCAGAGAGGATCATGAGCTTATGATTGCTTGCAGCCGGCGCCACATAATTCAATTTATAATTCACCAATCAGACAATTCCTAAGTCACCATAAAGACCCTAAGTTCAATAAAACAGCCATCTTCGTTTTGAAGAATACCCCCTTCCACCACTACTCCTCCTCCTTTCCTAAAGGAGTGGCACAGTGGCACAGTGGTTAGATCTGTTGCCTTACAGCAAGAATCTCACTGGTTCTAGTCTTTACCAAGCCAGCCAATGGTTCTGGGCAGAGTTTACACGTTCTCCCAGTGCTCACGTGGGTTTACCCCAGGTCCCCTTGGTTTCCTCCCATCGTTCAAAAACACGCTACTTAAGTTAATTGACTAATCAAAATCGGCACCATAGACATGCTCCTAGTAAGTAGTTATCTCTTAAGAGCAATCTCTATCTGTTCATTAGCTATTACAGCAAGAGAGTTCTTAAGATCTACCTTGCCTTGCAAACGAGAGGGAGCCCCGGGCTCCAGGATCTTATGAGCTCAGGGCTCTCTCCTGGGACAGCATGCCAAACAAGCTTAATAATCAATCATCAGCTAAGTGTGAACTCTTGAATCATAATTAAATTGGATGATTGGTGTCCATGCAAACATACGCAATGATGACAAGCGTTAACTGTAACAGTAAGTTATAACTCTGCCTCACCATTGACTGCAGTCTCTGTGCAAGATGATAGGCCTCCAGACTGTCTTTGCTTTCCTTCAGGCGAGAGCGATCAACCAGCCGCGGACGGTTGTAGATCGCCTGATCTGCAGAGGAAAGGAAGAAGAACATTTAAGGATGTAAAATGCAAAGTAATTAGAGAAAAAGGAGTGAAGCGACTGAGAAATAAGCTTTACCACAGTTGAAGTTGATTGCTCCAATGAGCTCCAGGTAGGTGTGTATGCGACCGATGCAGTTCACATCACCACAGTTCTTCAAGCCTGGACGCACTGATGTCTTGTTCAGGTACTTGGGTTTGCTTCTTCTCCTGAAAAAAAGAAACACTTTTTTAACCTACTGTACTGATCAAAAGTCTGAGGTCAGTAATGGCCCGTTTCCATTGATTGGAAGGGTTTGGTGCAGTATGGGTTGGTATGCTAAGAGTTACTTTTAAAAACTGTGTGAACTGGAAGTCACTGAGAAGTTATTTGAGCACGTACTAGGGTTGGGCGATGTCGACCAAAATGGCATCGTACGATGTCTAATGTCATCGCAATGGACAATGGCATCGTTGTCATAGGTCAAGGTTAAATTATTATTTATTACAACCTGTCAATCACTTTTTCCACGGGAGATTGGTCGGTAAAAAAGGTGCACAACCAACAGTATCTGAGGTTTTCACTAAAATTACTAAGTACAAGTGTAAAAGTAAAAGACAGAAGCAGTGTACTGATGCTGTGACACATTACCTGATAGATTCAGAAGAACGAAGAGTCGTTGGATAAAGACAAGATTAATTAAATATCACGTTTAACAACTATAGTGAGACGCGATCTAGCGGTACATCCTTGATAAACTGTCTGACGTGCACTGCTCTCTGGAGCTCAGAGGAGCGCATGACAGTGTGTGTGGCTGTGTGTGTGTGGTCACGTGATGTGCGTTTTCATCGGACAGAGGGCTGTTCAGAAATGTTAGGTAAAACAGGGTAAGGATGTGGATCATTTTTGTTCTTAAATGCCATTTTAACACTAAGACGTATTAGTGTAATCAGCCCAACCCTAACACATACTTCCAACTGAAACTGAATATTGAGTAGGGAGAAGGGCTATCTTTTTGCGCATCATTCCCTAATAGCAAACTAATGGTAAGAGCGGTGTGGTTAAAAATATTGTGGCTGAAGCATCAAACTGACGTCAACAGAGAAGGACCACCATTCCAAAATCCAAACTAAATAGTTTTATGGGTTTTATTTCAGTGCTTTAACTTGCACAGACTAATTAAATAACAACATGCACTAGCAAGATTAATGTAAATTTTGATTTCACACAGACTTTAAATACATTTATTAAATAAAGATGCCTTCAATTGCTAAAAGGAGTTATTAAATACCTTAAATTGTTCCAAAACAATATATTAAATACATTTATAATGGTTTACACAAAAGCCATAGGCAGCACAACTTCTAAATTGATATTAAAAAGAAATCTTTCATGAGCAGAAAATAGTCTAATAGTAATATTAGATTTCTGAACGATCATTTAAACAAGACTGGGGTAATGATAGCTGAAAAATTAAATTTGCCATCATAGCAATAAACAACAGTCTAAAATATTTACAGAATTATATTAATATTGTATTCACACATTATTAAAAGCTTAAGCATATTTTTTTATTACATGCAACCTTGGTGACTATGAACTTTTCAAATAAATAAATTAATTAACCAAGTCTTTTAATCTTTCAGAATTTTTACTGATTCATTCTCTTTAAAAATAACTCAAATAATTCAGTAAACTAAAACTATTTTTTATTAGAAATAAACTTTGTATGCAATCAAAATAATAATAAAAAAGACATATTTAGTATGTAGTACAATAGCAAAATCTAAAACAAATTACAAACAAAAGTAGCTCCTTAATGATACTTGTACAACCCAGGCAGAAGAACGTGAAACATTTAAAGCTGAAATCTCACCACTGGTCCAGGATGTAGTTGCGGATTTTTAGATATCTCTCCGGTGTTTTGGATGGGCGTCCCTCAAAGAATTCTGAGATAGCTTGCTTTTCCTCTTCAGTAATTGTGTTCAAGTCCAATTCAACCTCTTGTTCGGGAGCTCTGAGCTCCTCCTCTTCATCCTCCTCTTGGTCTTCAACTTCTTCCTCCAGACATTCAGCTGATTCACACTTATCTGGAGTAAAAGATCACATTAACTAGTTGTGCTCATGCTGATGGATTGCTATAGTAAAAAAAAACGCTCTTTCCACCTGTCAATGGTGTTTTAAAATACCTCGTGATCACTTGTGTTGGGTTTTCATTCAGATTCTTCCCTCAAATTTTGTCATGATCTTACATCATGTTCACAATGGCACTCAGTTTAAGCCACAAGTGTTAAACATTTCGGACCAAACTCATTGGAAATGCGTGTCTCAGCCTACACATTTGGGAAACAAATCCACTAAAAGCCGCTGTCTGCATTTTTACAAATCTGAAATACGTTATTTAGCTTGGCAGTCGCACAGAATTTTAAGTTTTGTCATAGACCATGGGAGAGAAGCTGATTACAGTGTCTGAAATAAAGGAGTGGAAAAGCAAGAGCCTTTATTTTCCGTGCGTTCACCATGTGTTATCTAAGCTAAGTGATCGGGGAAGAAGGGCCTTAGTCAGGGAGGTGATCAACCCAATGGTCGCTCTGTCTGAGCTCCACCCTTCTTCTGTGGAGAGAGGAGAACCTTACAGAAGGACAACCATTTGTGCAGCAACCCACCAATCAGGCCTGTTTGGTAGAGTGTCCAGACGGAAGCCGCTCCCCGCCTGGACTTTGCCAAAAGGCAACTGAAGTACTCTCATACCATAAAAAACAAAATCCTCTGGTCTGATAAGACTAAAATTGAACTCTTTGGAGTGAATGCCAGGTATTCTGTTTGGAGAAAATCAGGCACCGCTTATCACCAAATTATTACCATCCCTACAGTGAAGCATGGTGGTGGCAGCATCATGCTGTGAGGATGTTTTTCAGCAGCAGGAACTGGAAGACTAGTCAGGACAGAGGGAAAGATGAATGCAGCAATGTACAGACACATCCTGAATGAAAACCTGCTTCAGAGTGCTCTTGACTTCAGACTGGGGGCGACGGTTCATCTTTCAGCAAGACAATGACCCAAAGCACACCGCCAAAATATCAATAAAGAGGCTTCACAACAACTCGGTGAATGTCCTTGAGTGGCCCAGTCAGAGCCAAGACCTAAATCCTATTGAACATCTCTGGAGAGATCTGAAAATGGGTGTACAACGCCACTTACCATCTGACCTGATAGAGCTTGAGAGGTCTTAGAAAGAGGAACGGGCCAAAATTCCCAAAGATAGGTGTGCCAAACTTATGACATCATATTCAAAAAGACTAGAGGATGTAATTGCTGCCAAAGGTGCATCAACAAAGTATTGAGCAACGGCTGTGAATACTCATGTACATGGGATTTTTCAGGTTTTTTATTTTTAATAAATTTGAAACAATTTCATAAACCTTTATTCACATTGTCATTATGGGGTATTGTGTGTAGAATTTTGAGGTAATAAATTAATTTAATCCATTTTGGAATAAGGCTGTAACATAACAAAATGTGGAAAAAGTGAAGCGCTATCAATACTTTCCGGATGCACAGTATATATGTTTCTAAATTAAGATTTAGTAATGTTATTTATTTTTTTATATTATTTGTTGTGTTATTTTCTCTTATGTTCCTGTTTGTTTAACAGTCATACAAATCTAATAAATTCATACATCTAATAAAAAAATCATACATAAAATAAAGAATAAAATAATACAAGGTGATGTGTCAATGTACCTGCTAATTCTGTTTCCTCCTCTCCAGTCAGGCTGTGTTTGCTTGGGCTGTCTAAATTAATAAAAGGATTCCCACTTTCCTCAACTGCTTCTGAATCAATTTCGGAATGATGGATTTCTGTGTCTTCACTGAAATCTGGATCAGCCTGTCCATCAGCAGCAGTGCTTTCAGATGGAAGGTGTAACAGTGCATCTGATAAACTTGGCCTGAGTTCTCCGTGGTGGTTGCAGTCTGGAGAAACGGAGCGTTCTGGCTGCTTTTTAGACTGTAACTCGCTGTCGCTGAAGTCATCTGTAATATCGACATCCTCATCGTCAGAGAGTCTCTCGATGCGCACAGCATTAGTCAAGGCCGAGACGTGAGGTTGAATCGAGGAGACCGAAGTCACATTAGCGGAGGTCACTTCAGCAGCTGGTTCTGCTTTGGGCTGAAGGTCAAACACAAATTATATAGAGTCGAGGTTTTATATACAGTACAAAGTACAGAAATTATTCATACCCCTGGCAAATTCTGATCTAAAGTTTTTGATGTAAATAAAAGCTGAGAAATATATATATTTTTTTTCACCATGATGCCTCTTGTACATCATCTAATTATCTTTTGGAAAAAGCATGTGCCATTTCTAGCAAAAAAAAAAAAAATCCTGGTTAAATAAAAGTAACTTTAAGTCAGAATTTAACATATGTACGGACCATTTCATGCTTGACTGTACAGCTTTATGCAACAGAAATATCACACTTCAAACTTTAATGAACACTGACCAGATCAATCATGATAATAATTTTTGTTGTGCAATATACTGTCTCAGAAATGATTGAGATAAGTAATACTGTTGTATGCCAATGATTATAATAATAATTCCTTTCATTTAGATTTTCTGGGCACTCAAAGTGCTTTACACAAAGGGGGCAATAACTCATAATCCACCACCAGAGTGAAGCATCCACCTGGATGACGCGACGGCAGCCATTTTGCGCCAGACTGCACACCACACTGCTGATTGGTGGAGAGGAGAGAGAGTGATAAAGCCAATTATGATATGGGGAGGGTTAGAAGGCCATGACGGACAGAGGCCAGAGGACAGATTTGGCCAGGATGCCACGTTAAAACCTACTCTTTTTCGAAGGACATCCTGGGATTTTTAATGACCACAGAGAGTCAGGACTTCGGTTTAACATCTCATCCAAAAGACGGCGCTCACTGAGCAGTAAAGAGTCCTCGTCACTATACTGGGGCATTAGGACCCACACAGACCCCTGCTGGCCTCACACCACTTCCGGCAGCAACCTAGTTTTCCTATTTGGTCTCCCATTCAGGTACTGACCAGGCGCAGCCCTGCTTAGCTTTAGTGGGCGACCATATGAGAGTTGCAGTGAGCTAGCTGCCGGCTACATATATTATATAAAGATTATACAACAGCATAATAATGGAAACAGCATAAACGCTTTCAAGGAATAAAAACTTTTCATTCAGATTTAGTATTTTAATGTTCAGTAAAATGCAAATGTTTTTGTAAAACGGCTTTATGTCATTTGGACAACTTCTTCCAAAGAAGATGGGCGATAAACATGATGGGGGATATATATTTTCCCACCAAAATGATTGGAGTCATTTCAATTTATATATTATGTTATTATATTTATCGATCCTTGTGACAAGCCTAGCTCGAATGTTTGCCAAAGATGTGGATTACTGTACGTTCACACCGAAAGCGGCGAGAGCGTCCAAGGTCGCTCTGGCCGCCCTGGCGACAACGCTCTCTGCCTTCAGCTCCTGCGGCGAGAGCGTCAAAACTCGCTACATTGATCTCATTTTTAAAGGAGCCGTTGCAGCATATCAGTTACATTCCTGCATAAAACATGTTTCTAGCGTGAAAATGCGCACTTCTTACCAAATTCATACAACAATGGAAGATCAAGTAGCGTGTATTGTGGCTTTGCTCTATTTATCCAATATGTGTCCATATGTCTGAAATATCCTGAAGCAGCAGTACTGTTTTGTACTGTCACATCGCGTGAGCTTTTTTAAGATAAATTTATATATCATTAATGAACATCAGTAACTCACCAGTAACTTATTTAATGTATGTTCCTGTAGGAAAAAAATTTCAATAATTGGAAATTCGGCGACCGCAATAATCAAACCTTTGGGAACAACTGTGGTCGGAACCAAAGTTCACAGGTCTGTGTTCTCTGAACTGCTATCAAGCGATGGACGTCTTCATTCTGATTGCTTGCCGCCGAACCGCGTCATAGCTCAGTACCATAAAGTTGACTTCATTTCAACTCTCCTCGACGCTCACGCCGGCGAAGACGCGCGGCGCTGCGCCTCGCCGCCTATCGCCGCCGGCTCTCATTAAAAAATAAATGACTTCCGGCTACTTTGACGCTGTCGCCGCTTTTAGTGTGAACATACGGTTACAGATAATAATGTTAAAAATAATGTTCAGATTCTTGCACTACCCATTTTCCCCTATGAACAATTTAGCTTATTCAATTCACCTATACCACGTCTTTGGACTTGTGGGGGAAACTGGAACACCCGTAGGAAACCCATGCAAATATGGGGAGAACATACTCCACACAGAAATGACAACTGACCCATTCAGGGCTCGAACCAGCGATCTTCTTGCTGTGAGGCGGTTGTGCTAACCACTGTGCCACCATGCTGCCCATTCTCTGAATCATTTGTCAATTAACAGCAAACTGTCACAGCATATTATTTCTAAAACTGTAACACCGACAGTTTTTTTCTCCACCCAACAGATGGCAGCGTTCTACATCTAACACCTAGATTTATTTCAAGAAACTACTTACATCTATTTACATCAGTATTAAAGTGATTTCTTTAGTAAAAGTACAATATTTTAAGCAAGCTAACTGTGTTGATGTTGACTTTTAAGGGTTAATGGATTAAAAAAGTAATATCTCCCAAATCCTAGCATAAATAAACGAGAAGTAAACAAAAGAAATGATTTATAATTTATATTATTAAAAATGTATTTTGTTTGATAATCACTCAATAAATGATAGACTAAATGTTGCAGAAATAAGCACCGCATAAGGGTTAATGGACTGCCCCTAATATCCACACATACAGTGCTCAGCATATATGAGTACACCTCCCACAAAAAAATAAACAAAAAATATCTAAAAGTTGTAGGTTGTAACTTAATTTTGCAATATTTTGCTTGAATTTAAATGTATAATCTTTCCATTTCTAAAGATGTTCGGTGACTAAAATATTCTTTTAATAAACATATCTGTTTAATAATCTGATTTGTTCAAATACATCAATATATATTACCCATATTTACTAAGAAATGGACAGAAATATTCATTTTAAAAGCATGGTGTATTCATATATGCTGACCACTGTATCGAATCAAAAACATGACAGATAAAGAATTGAATTTCTGAATTTAGAAAAAAAAATTATATGTTTTAATCTAACAGGAACGTCCTTATTTGTTATAAAATGTGTCTTTTAAATTGGGTCACGTGGGCTAAAGTCATACCTTATTTTTGAAGTACTGCTTAGCATAGCTCTTCACTTGTAGAACTGTCCTAGTGCCAATTAGTTTTGCAATCTTGGTCCACCTGCGGCCAAACTGAGCCTAGAAACCATAAAAAAAGTTACATTTATTTCCTCTTATAAAAGCAAAGTATTATTTTCAAAGTTTTTATTTTGTGTGTGTGTGTGTGTGTGTGTGTGTATATGTGTGTGTGTTTTTGTTTTGTTTTGTTTTGTTTACCAGTCCTTTCTCAAAGAGTTCTTTTTCCTCTTCCGCCCAACGGGTTTGTGCTGCAGAACTCTTTACCAGTGGCCTACAAATAAGCATAAATAAATTAATGCATTTATATATTTTACCATTCAAAAGTTTGAATTGAGAAAGCTTTTAAAATTATATTATCACCATTCATTCATTTTCTTTTCGACTTAGTCCCTTTATTAATCCGGGGTCGCCACAGCGAAATGAAGCGCCAACTTATCCAGCATATGTTTTACACAGCGGATGCCCTTCCAGCTGCAACCCATCTCTGGGAAACAACCATACTCATACACTACAGATAATTTAGCCTACCCAATTCACCTGTACCGCATGTCTTTGGACTGTGGGGGAAACCAGAGGACCCGGAAGAAACCCACGCGAATGCAGGAGAACATGCAAACTCCACACAGAAACGCCAACTGACCCAGCCGAGGCTTGAACCAGCGACCTTCTTGCTGTGAGGCGACAGCACTACCTACTGCGTCACCATATTATCAATATTATTATTTAAAATATAATTTACCTTAAAAAATGTTTTTGTGACAATAAAGTTGAATTTTCAGTATGTTAATCCAGTCTTCATCATCACATAATCTCTCAGAAATCATTCTCATACTATTTTGTTGATAAAAAGGTTATCTTCTAACTATTTCTTATTCTCTTTATTATTATTATTATTATTGTTATTAAGAACAGTTGTGCTGCTTAATATATTTGTGAAAAATATGATACATTGTTTTTATAACTCTTTGCTGAATACAAAGTTCAACAAGCAGCATAGTAAACATACCAATATTAAATAACAATAAATAATTTATCCTTTTTAAATCGTATTGATGACATGTTTTCCAACTTAGGATCAAATAAGATCAAATGTGTTCTTGCTAATTAAATCTGTTAATTTGTTTTATTGAAGAAAAAAAAACATCCTTCTCATTTCATACTTTTAACTGATATTGTAGCCGTTTACATATTCATAAAGATAAATGGATAAAAATAAATAAATCTCACTTTTTGACTTTAGTCTTCTCATTTGTCCAGGCCACCTTTGGTGCTTTCTTACTGGCAAAATAATACCTTTATTTATTAAGAAAACAACACATGCGTTTAATGAAGAATGGTCATGTCTGTAAACATTAAAGGATGTGGAAATTAAATTAGATGTGATTCATAGGTGTGATGTTGTGAATAGTGAAGGATACTGTTCTTCCAGCAGCATGCTCTCGATGACCTGTCTGTTTTCATCGCTGATGGAGCTGTCCAGAGTCCATGGCTGAACACACACACACATGCACACAAACATAACAATACATCAAAAATAGCTCCAGAGTCATTTCATGAAGCACATTTTGGACCTTAATGCAAGGTTCACCCTTTCGAGGCTGGTTTTCACAACCTACAAAAAGTGGTGCTAGGTCCACTTCTCAATTGCAAGTAGGCTTGTCACAATTATTGATTTTTCATCTCATTGTGATTATTTGAGACAACTATGTGAACTGTGAAATTTAAACTTGAAATAATGTGCAATGTATGTAATAGTCAAAACATACTCTCATATTATCCTTTATGTTATGACAAATCTTTCTTATGTATTAAAGAGAAAGAGAAAACTGAAATGTTGCCATCATTTTTAACCTTCCCCTTGTTCCAAACCTGTTTGAGCTTTTTTCCCTTTTTTTTTTAACACAAAGGACATACTGAAGAATTTTAGGGTGGAAAACAGCCACTGAATTTTTTATTTTGTTTCTACTACGGATGCCAATCACTGCTTCTTTCCCACATTCTTCAAAATATCATATTTTGTGTTCAAGAGAAGAAAGAAATTCATAAAAGATTTAGACCCACTTGAGTGTATGTAAATGGTGAGAAAGTTTTTTAGAAATTATTGCATGTATGTATACCAGTACACTGCTGTTTGTCCTCCATGCGGACTGTAAATACTGATCCTGGAGAATCTCAGCACTGCTCAGGTCACTGTAAAAACAGTACACAAACATACACTGTTGAGACTACAAAAGAATAAAACATCACGAAACACAATACCACACAATAATACACATGTAAAATTGATAATGCCAATATACAACACAATACAATCAACTCTACGGTAATCTAACTAAATACATTTCCAATATTTTTATTCAAGCTATTTATTGCTTCCGCACCTCAGATGGCAGTAGTTTAGATTCTTATTGTTATGCCATGGTTTCCCCCATGCTGTACAGCTGAAGTGGGTGGGCTTCAATGTCCATAGTGTATAAGTGTGTGTTTGTGTTGCTGAATGTTTCCCAGAGATGGGTTGCAGCTGGAAGGGCATCCGCTGCGCAAAAATGTGCTGGATAAGTTGGTGGTTCATTCCGCTGTGGCGACCCCGGATTAATAAAGGGACTAAGCCGACAAGAAAATGAATGAATGAATGAATGAATGAATGAATGAATGAATGAATGAATGAATGAATGTTGTTATTATTTTTAAGCTCACTAGTGGTTGTGTAAAAATTTCTGTATTTGACAAATAAAATTTGAATTTAATTTGAATCCATTCCTAAAATATAAACCAATATCCAGAAACATTTGTATTTAGATCTGAATTTGAATGATTGTTTTAATAGAAATATAATTTCCCATAAGGTAAATGATGGAGTAGTTGTGTGTTTGCGCAATAAAAATGGGTTAAAAAAAGTACAAAATTGAGAAGTGACTGTAAAAATGCTGTATAATTTATCATATGAAAATGTATATTTCCCTATATAATTAGTATGTAAATGTTTGGGGTCAGGAAGACCCCAGGAACCTTACTGTGATTTCTTTCCTCGGCTGCTCAATGGTTAAAGGGAATCAGAAAAAGCCAGGTATCAAAAAAAAAGGTACAATTTTAAAAAAAAAAGAAAAGAAAAAGACATCCACCATTATAACCATTATAATAATAATAAAATGTAAAAAATTACATAGGACACTAAAAACCCCATTCTAAATAAATATGTTTTAAAAATCCTGCAAAGTGCTTTAAAATTAGCATTTTTTGATCAATGTTTGACATAATCTCAAAAGAAAAATTAAGAGACGGTGGGAGAAAAAAAAAAGAGCTAATATTGTTTTTGTTTTATCACTATCTCAACCGCTCTTACTGGCAGAGCTAAGCACATCAAATGAGAAGCAACTTGAAGGAGGCAAGGCATGATTGTTGCTCGATCAGATAAGGTTGTCGGAAGTAAACAAGAATTAGTAATACTGTTTATTAAATTTCGCATTTATTGTATTTTATTAACATTTACCCCCTCCACAACCCTAAACCCAACCGTCACAGTTCTGTAAAATATTATTGTTATACAGTGTCATAAAAAAATGCTAATATATTGATGTGCATTCCGCCGCATATCCAATCTAGACCTAACAGGGCATGTCAGATACTAGAGAGCATTTGATTGAACAGAAGATTTGATGAGAAACTCTTTATATTTCTAAACTCAATTTATGTCACTGTTTTGGAGCTAAAACTTTTTATTTTAATTTCACGGGACCTTTAAGAACAGACTTGAAGACTCAGATATGAAGAGTCATCTGTCTAATGACAGTAATACAGTTCCTAAAGTTATACTGACTAAAAATTACACCATACAAAACCTGTTATATCTAACTTTACCAGCTGTTAAAAAAATGATTCAATTAGTTTAAGAATACTTTGCTTAAACAGGGAAAGTAATTGTATCGTACTACTGTTAGGTTCAGATGTAAGAAGTAAAAGTATTGTAGTTAGTCAATCTATACAATCTTCAGTGAAGTCTCGCCCAACATACTAATACTGCAGGTGAATTAAAGTACAGACGCCTTTTTAAACACAAAGAAGGCAGATTTGTAGTTATTTTCTAAAATACTCATCAGCTTTTTTGTAGTGAAAAGAGCAGTAAAATAAACTGCTATGACTAATGTGCTATAACTGTTCTTGCAGATCACATTATGTTAGTGCATAAGTATAAAAAAATAAGCTTGTAATACTATCTTAGTAACAAACATGCTAAAATAAAGTAACTTATGAAATATGAATAATGTAACTGTTCAAATAACTGTTCACATAACTAACGTTACAGCAGCTCACATTCATCCTGTCAGCTTTGCTGTCTCGTGTTTTTCCCTCGCCCATGGAGTATATTATGTTAAAGCAAGCGTCGGTTATGTTTCCCAGAAACATGGAAATGAGAGAATAAACTCCTACCCGACGATTTCATCACATTCATCTCCCTCGATGTCAACAACATCCAACTCATCAGCCATATTTGTGCCGGAAGCGAGAGAGGAGAGCGAGTGTATGGAGAGAAAAGTGACTGATACAGCGCCTCTCACTGGTAGGAGGGCAATTATGATACTCTAAAATTGTATTTCTCCTCTAGTTCAAGGTGTTCATTCATTCATCCATCCATTCAATTTCTTTTAGTCCCTTCGTCAATCTGGGGTTGCCACAGCGGAATGAACTGCCAACTTATCTAGCATATGTTTTACGCAGTGGATGCCCTTACAGCTGCAAATCATCTCTGGGAAACATTCATACACACTGAGAAGGGTCTGAGACAGCATCATGTCTGCATCTAGACTCTGTTGTACACACTCATACACTACAGACAATTTAGCCTACCAAATTCACCTGTACCGGATGTCATTGTACTGTGGATTACACCGGAGCAAAAACAAAAATTTAAAATTGATGCGATTTAATAAAGCGAAACAGTTACCTACAATCTCATTCATTCATTTTCTTTTCAGCTTAGTTGCTTTTATTGTCTATTTTTATTCAGCTCTGATACTTTATTGTATTATTTTATTATTCTTTTATTTTATTTATCACATGTTTGAGTTATTTTTAGTAGTTTCCACTGTGGCGACCCCTGATTAATAAAGGACTAAGCTGCAGGCCTAAAAAGAGAACAAAAATAATAATTAACTATTGAAGAAACAACTAATTACGCAAGCAAATACATTACGATTGTCAGTTGTCTACACATTGATAACCCTGATTAATTGTCCAAACAGGGTTTTTATTGGAAGTTTGGAGGAAATTATTTTTTTTAATCACTTATAGCAGTTTTAGTTGCTGATTCACTAAAATAAGAATGTCCTACAAGAGCAAAGGTGTCAAACTCAATTCCTGGAGGGCCGGAGCCCAGCACAGTTTAGTTCCAACCCTGCTTCAACACACTTGAACTATAGGTTTTAAACAAGTCTGAAGGACTCCATTAGTTTAATCAGGTGTGTTTAATTAGGGTTGGAACCAAACTGTGCAGAGCTGAGGCCCCCCAGGAACTGTGTTTGACACCTGTGCACTGTACTAGAGAATAAATAGAGCTTGCTTCCACATATATATGTTAATCTTTAAACAATAATGTGTTTTGTGTTATTTAGTTGCTTTTTTAATATTGGTACTACAAAAATTAAACTAACAAAAGTAATTTAAATGCGATCAGAGTTTATGAAGGACCTCTTTTTTTGAGCCACCAAGCGCCCCCTAGATGTATAACACGTTTGACGTCATTGTAAACAAACAATGTCATTGGACGATCAGTGAAAACGTATTACGGAAGTCTGGTAAAAACTGTAAACTGGTAAATACTGACACGTGAACTTACAGATTTGTGACATTATTCGACTCGTTTCCGTCAATTTTCAGGTATGAAACATGGAGCACAAGCTGGCTGAATTCAGAGCCCGAAAGAAAGCTCAAACCGAAGGGATGAAACCTGCTGAAAGTGTTATCCAGAGTGAAATGAAAGCAAAAGTCGACGATTCTCCTCCGGTGGTGTGTGATGACAAACCTGAGCAGAAGCCAGACACCAGCCCTCAGGCTTCACACACAGAGGTCTGAACACTTCTTTCAAAACATTAAAACCATGCGTGTCATTGTATCAGATAGACCAAATGTAATGTTTTCTGTCATTTTAGGATTACATTAATCGTTTGCTGGACACTACACTGGGCCGCAGGCTTCATCGTCTGGCCCCTCACCTGACCCTGTTAAAAGTGCTCCTGTGGCTCGTGCTGTTGGGACTTTTTGCAGAGCTTGGGTTTGGCCTGGCATTTTTTCTCATATCATTATTTTACTGGCTCTACGAGGGCTTTCGGACCCCAAAACCCAGACAACCTGGAGAAATGAGTGCATATTCTGTGTTTAACCCTGACTGTCAGCCTATCCTGGGAACTTTAACAGCCGAACAGCTAGAAGGAGAGCTGGGATATAGGCCAATGGCCAATAGATGAACACAACATGTTTGAAAGGAAATTTCTCTGGACAATAAAGAAAACTGCTTGGGAGTCGGGACACTTATTTGCATTATATTAATGTATCTTGGTTTTTAAGTGATGTATTCTCATAAGCAGATTCTGAACTTTATTGATAGAAATACACAATAATAATTAATATTGACACTATTAAATATTATTGACGTAACACGCACTTCTGAGTGCCAATGACTAAATAACAGTTTAATCACATTTTACATCCTGCAATTGGATTTGAGACTGTCACTTATTCATAATTAATGATCATAAAGCTTTTGTTATTCAAACTAAATTAGAGCTCATTTGTAATATTGCAGAACAGGAATTTGTGATGAATGGATACAGACAACAGTTGCTTCAGATTTAACATATGACAAAAAGATCCCATTAAGGGATAGTTCACCCAAAAATGAAAATGGGTGAATTTACTCACTCTTAATGGTTCCAAACCCTTTTTTTCTGTTGAACACAAAAGAAGATATTTTGAGGAATGTTGGAAAGTTGTAACCATTGACTTCCATAATAGGAAAAACAACAATGGAAATCAATGATTTCATCTTTTAAGTTAAACTGAAGAAAGAACTTAAAGGCTTGTGATAAGTGAAGATTTAATAAATGATGAAAGAATATTTACTTTTGGGTGAATTATTCCTTTAAGAGTTTCTTAAAATGACGACAATGTACCTCAAAATTAAAAATTTTTTCCTTGCATTTGTAAAGATGTTTGCATGCAGACAACGATCCTAGTTTATGGTGTTGTTGTCTAGTACTTGTCCATACATATTACTGACTGAACATGTAATATACATGCACGTGACATCAATATATTTGCATATACATTTTTAGAGTAAACAAATGGTGGTAGAATTGTCTATATGCACACAGACTTTTAATTTTTCACCAAAGGCTTCCGGTGAACCGTCTTTCCATTACAAAATTGTCACGTTTAATACCAGATTTCTTTAAAAATTAGCGATCTTCACTGCCTGTTACATACAGTTGAAACAATACACTAAAAAAAGGAATATAATATATATATATTTTTTTTTTTAAATGTCAAATGGTAAATCATACTAAACATTTACTATTTTAGGTCTGTTAGGATTACCTAAATGATTTACATTTGCTAAATGTCAGAATAATAAACGTTTATTATTGAGTAATTATTATTTTCCAGAAAGTCAGAAGTTTATATACATTTCCTTGGTATTTTTTCAGTTTTGCTTTTAAACTCTATAACTTTGGTCAGGTTTTTTGGGTATCCATCCACAAGCTTCTCACAATAGTTTGAAGGTATTTTGGCCCATTCCCCTTACAGAATTGGTGTAACTGAGTCAGATTTGTCTTGCTCGCACAAACTTTTTCCACTCTGCCCACACATTTTCTATTGGATTGAGCTCGGGGCTTTGTGATGGCTACTCCAAAACATTCACTCTGTTGTCCTTAAAGCATATTTTAACTAATTTGGCAGTATGCTTAGGGTCATGGTCTGTTTGGAAGAATCATTTGTGGCCAAGTTTTAATTTCCTGGCTGATGTCTTAAGATGTTGCTTCAGTATTTCTACATAAGTTCTTTCTTCATGATGCCATCTATGCTGTGAAGTGGACCAGTCCCACCTGCAGCAAAACAGCCCCACAACATGATGCTGCCACCCCCATCATTCACAGCTGGGATGGTATGGTGTTCCTAGGTTTGTAAGCTTTCCCCTTTGTCCTCCAAATGTAACACTGGTCATTATGGCCAAACAGTTCAATTTTAGTTTCATCAGAGCATAGGACATGTCTACAAAAAATTGTCTTTTTCCCAGTGTAATTTAGCACATTGTAATCTGTCTTTTTTGTTGATTTCCCCATTTTGTCACAAAGGAAGCTGTGTGTTGAGGGCTTCCTTTGTGACAAAATGGGGAAATCAACAAAAAAGAACACAATTCGACAGTTGTGGCTCCAATTAACTCAAATGTTGTCAATTAGCCAATCAGAAACTTCCAAAACCTTGACACTTTTTTCAGAAGCATAATAATCTTATTGTATGTAAACCTGACTTTCAAGAAAAGTTATAACAATTTCTCAATAAATATATCTCTCATCATTCTGCTATTAAGCATAACAGAAACAAATTCGATCATCCTAACTTACCTAAGACAGAAAAGGTTTAGTCACATTAATATCTGAGTTTTTTAAATGTGCCTTTTTATACAGTGTATGGAAACTTCTGATATTAACTGTATCTGATAGAGAGTGGATCCAGATTGGACGAGAAGCACTGCATTAGATTCCATTTTGCCCTGCCATATCTTTTTTTCTAAAAGGTAATGATTCGCACACATCAAGTAATTGCTTCATACTGTTTTTCTTTTTACATTCTTCGGGTGATTTAAAAACGATGTTTTTTTTTTTACGTTCTTCGGATGATTTAAAAACGATGTTTTTAAAAACTATGTTTTTAAATCATCCAAAGAACGTAACAATAAACAGTATGAAGCAATTACTTAATAAGTGCGAATCATTACCTTTTTTGAAAAATAGCATTGAGAAGTAGTTGCACCAAAGAAGTTTCTTTAAAAATTGCAAGCGTACAGGGCAAACTTCATTACTCTACCCCTGCCATGTCTTTAAAATATGATAGTTTATTTTACCCTAGTATTTTTTATTGAATTTCTGCGCTAACCTGTTGCTACTGACGGTGCTAGTGGTTGCAATGGTCTTTCAGCTCGTTTCAACTGGAAGTTTGTAGATGGCTTTAACTCTAGCAGTGCATATAAAGCCCATTTTTTTCGAAGATGTGCACTTTAAAACTCATAAATGACCAAAACAAAAAAAACTTTAAGTAGATAATTGTTGCCTAAACAAATAAATACTCAAATTGATAATAGATGTATTAATACATTTGTATATGATACATTCATTTCAATTTCTTTGTGCAAAATGATTCATTGTATACAATGTACTCAAAGTTAGGGGTAAAGAAAGTTGTGATATACTGTTACTGAAAATCCCAATGGTTCCCAGATTAATTAAAGCCATGTTTAGATTGATATGTAATATGTGCAATTGTGTAAATAAACACAATTAAATGACAGCTGTGAGAAAACAGCAGTTAAGAGAGCATAGCAATGTGGATGTTTGCAATTCACGTTTGTTTGCTGCATCACTATGCAGTAGATTATGTTAAAGCTTTACAGTACAAAAACATTTATACAAAACAGTGAATTCTGCTTTAAATTAGAATTACACTTTATTTTATACAGCAGCTAAATGGCATTGTGGATTAAGTGTTTACCAGACTGTTTACCACTTCCAAACTCCAAGTGAACCATTTCGACCTGATTTTGCTCTAAAATATTAGTGTTGTTTGCCAGTTAAAGAATAAGGTTACTTACACAATGAAAACTTGGTAACAATTCCCTCAATTCCTTGTCATCCAAGATGTTAATTTCATTTTCTTCAGTTGAATTAAGATTTTTTACAAATTTTCAGGAATTTTCTATATATTCTGTATATTTTATTAGTGGACTTCAATGGTGTTTGTACGGAGTTCGATGGTTTGAATTTACAAACTGCACTTTCAAAGGGTCCTAAATAAGTCAAGGAAATATTAAGTTGTTAAAATAATAATATTAACAGGCCCAATAACTTAATAAAATTGCAATTTTAAGCTAAACTGAAACTGCAGAATAGAAATTTAAACCATGTCAATTATGTGTGTTTTTCCTCTGAGTTTTTCCTCATATGTGTGAAAGATGATATCTGTGTCTCACTATCATAATACTTAACACACAACGGGCACTAAGACCCCACGTGAGAAAGGACGCTGTTGTACTTGACGCCTTCCTGTTTAGCAGTTCTGTCAAGATTTTGTCAGTGTTGAACCTGAACCTGAACTCAACACATTTGCTGGACACGCACTGGGATTAAAGGTAAGGCCGCTAATATACAGAATAAATGCTGATAATTATCTGTCTTCGCTGAAGTGTTACATGACATACAGGAATGAATGCCGAGTAATGGCTTTGAACTAACTGTTAGCGATTTTAGCTACTACTGTTATTTAAAATTACCTCCTATTACTATTTGTAAGTAACAAATTTGGCTATGTGAGCTTTTGGCCATGGTAATTTAACAGATATTGGTGTCTTGGTGCTTAGCAGGATCTTCACCAGTGCAGCAACGTTTGCATATATTAACGTTACTTATTAACCACAGTTCATGTATTGTCAGGGTTGATACTTTATCATTGTGATATGTGACAAAATGTCTCTGATTGTAACTCTCAAGTGCTGGGAAACAAATTAGGCTACACAATTGAATATGTATAATATTCATCATTGTGTAGGCTAATTTCTTAATTTATTGTTTAACCTATTATATTTAACTATGATATTATTTAAACCTATAGATAATATTTTGAACAAACCTAACATTAAATTTACAGGAAAAATAGGATTTTCGCTCAAGTCTGAGAATGGGTTAGCTTAGCAAGACTGAAATGAAACAAACTAGAGAATTGTCAATAAATTCTTGACATTTGACGTTACAGTGGACCACAAAACCAGACATAAGTAATACAAATTGCTGGTAAAATAAACTTTCCATAGATTTATACTTTGTTAGGATGTTAAAAATCTGCAATCTGAGTGTTCAAAAACATAAAAATACTGAAAAGCTTTTAAAGTTGCCCAAATGAATTTGTTAATAATGAAAAATCAAGTTTTGATGTATTTATAGTAGAAAATGTACAGAATATCTTCACGGAACATCATCATTCCTTTTTTTATTTTTTTGCATAAAAGGAAAAAATATATAATAATTTTGACCCATTTGTGTATTTAGCTATTGCTAAAATATATAACGTAAGACTGGCTTTGTGGTCCAGAGTCACGTATCATGGTAGAGAAAAAAAAATTAAACCCTATTAGACATTAGAACTATAGATATGTATTTACAATTTATTTTCAGTTTAAAATCTTTTCCTATAGGAGTTAAATATGAGCAGATGATTTTAGTGTAAATCTTATAAAAGTGTAAATATCATAATCATAAATGAGAGATCAACTCAAAGGTTATTCAAATGATAATAACAAGTACAGTTTTGGACATGTTTTTGTCCAATGTGGTTAAAAAAAAAACTGATCTGTAGATCTGTATTAAGTAAAAAATTAAATTCAGATAAATCAGATCAGATAAAGATGACTTGCAAAACTCCTGTTGCCTTGTGACTTTTCCCCTGGTTGTTTGCAGGGTGTGTGTCTCCTGAACTGCAGTGAGGTGTGTTTTCTGTTTCAGGTGGTGTAATGGCGAGCAATCCTGCAGTGTTGATGCGGTTGGTGGCTTCGGCCCACGCTGTGGCAGAAAAGGCTGGAACAATTGTCCGAAGAGTGCTCAAAAGTGGAGAGCTCGGTATTGTTGAAAAGGTATGACAAGTAATAACATGTCCTGTAATCAGGGCCACACAGAATCTGTGGAGGTTTTTTTTTTTTTTTTTTTTTGCTATTTCTGTGCATAAAATAGGATAAAAAAATGTGTATTTGTGCTGAATGATTTGAAAAAGCTTTAAATATTACATTTTTAAAAAATGCTATTTTATTTAAGGTTTATGATGCAAAATATAATTAGATTTACTTGCTTGGTAAACAAAGCAAGTCTGCAATAATATTCCTTTGGCTTAGTTACTTATTCATCAGGGTTCAAATATATCTACTAAAATATTACTTTACAACCTGTATTGTAACTGTACACAATATTACTGAAATTAATATAACAACTGAATACAAATATATTTACACACATTTACATTGTAAATAAATACACTCAGTGACAAGTTAAAAAGAAAGTTGATGTATTGAGGCATACCTAATCCTACTAACATTTCCTACTTGAGATTGAGATATTTGTGTTTTTATATATGCTTTTATTCATCACAGACAGGAGCCAATGATCTACAGACACTGGCCGACAGGCTTGTTCAGAAGAGTATTTGTGCATCCTTGTCCAAAAGCTTCCCTAAACTCACTATTATCGGGGAAGAGGTGAGTAAGTTTCTCAGCCTTCACGGTAAAAAAATTACATGACAAAAATTTATAGCAACATTTTTTTTTTTTTTCAGTTGCACAAAGCTTATTTTTAGTCAGTTTGACTGATGTGAGTTAAGATGACTACAAAAAAAAACATTTGATTTAACTTAAAAAATGTAAGCAGCAAGATTATTTACAGTGTATTTTGTAATGAAGTAAACAAATATCTAAAAACCTCTGATTTATTTTTATTTTTTTAATACAGTGATAAAAATGCTGGTTGGTTATGCATTTGGCAACAATTCTTTTAACCTTAACTGTTACACTGCATAGCTTTTCGCCTTAGCAACTAATTTGGAATATGTATCTCATGGTCACATTTAAAGTCACATTATCTGGCTCAAACTGTTGAATTGACTACCAGTTGTTCTGAACACCAATGTACAGTTGAAGTCAGAATTATTGACTTCTGTTTATTTTTTCCCCAATTTCTGTTTATCGGAGAGAAGATTTTCTCAACACATTTCTAAACATAATATTTTTAATAACTCATTTCTAATAACTGATTTATTTTATCTTTGCCATGATGACAGTACATAATATTTGACTAGATATTTTTCAAAACACTTCTATACAGCTTAAAGTGACATTTAAATGCTTAACTTGGTTAATTAGGTTAACTAGGCAGGTTAGGGTAATTAGGCAAGTTATTGTATAACGTTTGTTTGTTCTCTAGACTATCGAAAAAAAAAAAGGTTAAAAGGGGCTAATAATTTTGACCTTAAAATGGTGCTTAAAGTTAAAAACTACTTTTATTCCAGCCGAAATAAACAAATAAGACTTTTCTGTAGAAGAAAATATATTATTAGACATGCTGTGAAAATTTCCTTGCTCTGTATAACATAATTTGGGAAATATTTAAAACTAAAAACTAATTTATATCAATTATTAATTCTGATTTTAACTGTACATCCTGTATGTACTAGAGTTGGTTGATGTGGAGATACTTTTGTTATAAATACAAGTTCTGCCTTGGTCAAGATATCTTAATGGAAATAAACTTAGACCTGATGCTGAGGGGAAACAGTCTGTAAGGTGTACTTAAGCAAATTCGTCCAGTGGTGTTCAGGTCAATTGGTGGTCAATTCATATGTAAAAATGAAGCCTGATTTTACAATTTGAGCCAGATGAATCTGGGAATTGTCATAATACTGAGATGCATATTCTAACATGATTGTTTAAGGAAAAAAAAACATCAATTAATTTTAAATTAATGTTAAATGACACAAGCCAAAAAGTTAATAATCACTGCAGTAATGATCTAATCATAGATTCTTACTGGACCAGCTCATCCAGAAATGAGAGTGATGTTATTAATTATCTAGTCTCATCTTGTTCCAGTCTTCAACACACAAATCAATATATTTTAGAGAGCACTTATCCTTCAATGGTCCCAAGATGTTCAAATAATAAAATGTTTTAAAATAATAAGAAAAATTCTTTACATTTATATAGAGCTTTTCTGAACTCCCAAAGTGCTTAACACATCTGTGTGGTGAATCTTCTCATCCATTATCAGAAAAGGAACCAAAAACTTTTTTTTTGTCAAATCATTCCATTTGACTTGGTTCGACTGTAATCTTTTGAAGCCCCCAAGAACACTTTATCAGTTTCAGATGATTACAGTTTAGCCACTGAAGATACGTGGAATGTTTTGAGAAGGCTTTTGGTTGCTTTTCTGCAACTATGAATGTCTCTGAACCCTTGTAGTTTATAGAAGGTCACAGCTCTCTTGGATTTTATCTAAAATATCTTTATATGTGTTCTCAAGATGAACTAAGCTCTCAGATTTTTCTATTGACTCGAGGATGAGTAATTAATAACATTATTTTAGGTAAACTAATAGAAGTATTTGCTTACTCAAATCAAAAAAGTGACTTGTATTTTGTATTGGGTATATTTTGCTTAAATAATAATAATTCATGCAGGATTTACCGGCTGAGACTGTCGAAGATGACCTGATAGAGAACGGCCAGAACAGCTTAATCCTAGAAAAGTCCTGTCCAGATCAGTATGCAAGCCTTAAAGAGGAAGAGGTAAGGCAGAAAGAGAATGTTCATTTTGTTATAATTAGTTTTATTCTGAAATATCTGAACATATATGTAGCACAGTTTGGTATTCAAATGATTTTCATCTGTATTTCTCAGCTAGTTGTGTGGGTCGACCCTCTCGATGGAACTAAAGAGTATACGGAAGGTGAGCGCTTGAAAGATCTTTCTGCATTTCTCATCCAGGTCTGACTCTATAGTGTCATTTCTTCTACTCTCATCTGAATTACACTTACTAAGTAAAACATGAAACGGTTAAATACTAAGTCAGTTTTTTAAGTAAAGAAAATAATTGATGATGGCGTAATAGCGTGTGCTAACGATTGCTAAATCTGTGCACTGTGCACACGTCAAAAGATCAAACCTGAAATTCCCCTGACAAAGTTTCACCAATCAGATGTCCTCGTAAAAATGTCTGTTCTACCTATGGATAAGTGTGCAATGATACACTCCATTTATGAAAGTCCAGATGGACAAGTTTGAAGCCTATAATCTCTGTTCATTGTTAACACAACCTGTATTTAATGTTCATCGTACATTCATGTGTAAATGTCACCATAGTTCTTCCATAACTGCACTTTAAAGCTTATGCCTATATTCTGCACTTGCTGCTATTGCACTCCTTGTTAGACCTTAACTGTTGCCCTGTACTTGTACATGTGTAATGACAGTAAAGTTGAATCTAATCTAATAATTTAGCTCATAAAATTTATTTGAATGCTCTTAGTTACACATGACCTTGATCGGCCAAAAATGTATGTTAAATAGCACCAACACGACTTCTGTGTGAGCAGTGCTTTATGCACAGCTGCGCTATAGCAATTTATTTATTTATTTATTTTTGGACCTGGCATTTTTCTGGCAAAGCTCTGACGTGACCTCAGCTGAATCACCAGATTTAAATCACATTTACAGTTGACGTCAAAATTATTAGACTAAAGGAAATTTTTACAGTATTTCCTACATTTGTTTAATTTTAGGCTGTTTCTCAATATGCAGTCTTGCTTCCTTGTGTTCTTATGTAACATTATCATCAACTGCCAAATTTTCGTTCCAAAACTCAAGGTCGCAAGAACGGAGGATGCGTGAAAGTTCTCGGATCTGTTCTTGATATCGAGGTCACATCGATGCAGACATCAACAATAACAATAATTTGCTGTATGATTGAAGAACCGGGGAAGAACGCAGCACCTCATTTCTCACATAGGACCCGTTCTCTGTTCTCGTGGTCTTTCGAGTTCGTTCTTCCAAGGAAGCTTGGCAATACTGGTCTCCACAAGAATGCGAGTTCGTTCTCTGCGTTCTTGGAATTGAAAAACATACTTAGTCTTAGGGCTTTATTTCGATGATCTAGGCGCAAAATGCAAAGCGCAGGGCGTGTCTAAATCCACTTTTGCTATTTAAAGAGCGGAAAATCCGGTCTCTTTGAATTTTGTGTGCATTAAGCAATGTTTAAGCTAGGCGCACAACTAACGCACTCTGCTCTGGACTTTAGATCTCCTCTTAGCTGGTCTATTGAACAGTGTATTTTGGTTCCTCAAAATAGCAACGCGCCAGCCTTAAACCACCTCCTTTTCTAGACCAGAATGCCAATGGGCGTACACATGAGCGCAAATGCATTTGCTATTTAAACAGCGTGCTGCAAAACGTCAAAAGGACTCTTGTGCCGAGCTGAAACTAGCAAATAACAATTGCGTCGCCTTGCGCCAGGTTTATGATAGGGCCCTTAGTCTTATTTCTTTCAGTTTGGCTGGAGAAAAGCTTTCTTTAAACTATATTAAGGTCAATATTATTTGCCCTATTAAGAATATCTTTTTCAGATTGCCTACAGAACAAACTACTGTGCTCCAATAACTTTCCTAATCCTATTTAACCTAAAGCCTAGTTAAGTCTTTAAATTGCACTTTAAGCTGAACTATTATCTTCCAAAATAACTAAAAGAATATTATGTACTGTCATCATGGCAAAGTCAAAAGAAATTAGTTATCGAACAGTTATGTTTGAAATATGCTGAAAAGAAATCCCTCCATTATAAAAAAAACAGCACTTGAGAAATATTATTAAAAATTTATATTTCACTGATAATATGGGCTAATAATTTTGATCTTCACTGTATCTGTTTTCGTCCCTTCCCTCTGCAGTGCACTATTGGTCAGAACTGTAAAATATTCTTGATTCATATTTGTCTTGTTTTTCTCTTTTTTTTCTAAACCCACCTCTAGTTGACCTCCATTTATCCAACACTCCTCTAGTGATGTCTCATAGCAATCTGCTCTCTCTTCCCACATTTCTCTCTCTGTCTTTGCTCTCCTGTCTCTCTTGTAGCTGCAAGGGTTTTGTACAGCCCAGTTTACATACAGAAGCCAGTGCTGCCCCACAGAACACCTAACCGTACGGTGAATTAATGCTTTTCTTTTGGGGCATGAGATGTCATCTTAAAATTAAAGGCATAGTTTACTCTGAAAATGACAATTTCCTCACCATTTACATTCACTGAATTAGTTTAAAACTTCAGTTCTGAAGAATGTTACAACAAAAATATAGTGTGGAGGTCAGTGGCAGTTTTTTAGCTTGTTTACATCCTTTAGGTCAGGGGTGCTCAATTCTCTTCCTGGAGATCTACCTTCCTGCAGATTTCAGTTGCTACCCATAACAAACACACCTGCCTGTAATTATCAAGTGGTGTTCAGGTCCTAATTAATTGGCTCAGGTGTATTTGATATGGGTAGCAACTGAAATCTTCAGGAAGGTAGATCTCCAGGAACAGGATTGAGCACCCCTGCTTTAGATAATCTTCCTTGTGTTCAACAGAAGAAGGAAACTTAAATAGGTTTGGAAAAAGAGGAGGATGAGTAAATGATGACAGAATTTTTATTTTTGGGTAAACTACATCTTTAAGCAATAGCACTGTTTTGTATTTATTTATTTGTACTCTTTGTTGCTAAGTACAGCCCAAAAATTGTTGTGTTTAGGATTTGTACAGGTGCTGGAAGTCCTTGAAAATGCTTGTATTTTAATCTAGTGTTTTCAGGTTTTGAATAAAGTGTGCATCAGCTTCAGATGATTACAGTTTAGCCACTGAAGACGCATGGAATGTTTCGAGAAAGTTTTTGGTTGCTGCAACTATAAATGTCGCTGAACCCTTGAAGTTTATGGAGGGACAGAGAGCTCTTGGATTTCATCTAAACCAGTGCTGTCCAAAATCGGTCCTGGAGGGCCGGTGTCCTGCATAATTTACTTCCAACTTCCTCCAACACAACTGCCTGGAAGATTAGTATACCTTGAAAGACTTTCAATAGGTGGTTTATGTGTGTTTAATTGGGGTTGAAGCTAAAATATCCAGGACACCGGCCCTCCAGGACCAGGTTTGGACAGCCCTGATCTAAATGAAACTAAATCTTAATATGTGTTCGGACACTAAACAAAGCTTTCAGATTTTTGTATTGATGAGTAATTAGTTACAGAATTTTGGGTGAACTAATTCAAATATTTGCATACTTAAATCAAAAAAGTGACATTTTTTGGTTGGGAGGTGTATTTTGATTAAATAATAAAATGGTAAGTGTCTTTCTTCCATTTTAGTTGTTAGTTTATGCAACTTTTATAAATTGTTGGACACATTATGAGGGATGAAATGAATGGGCATGAACTTTATGAGGGAAAGATGGGGGAATGAAGGAGAAATATGTTGCAAACCTGCATTAACAGCATGAGCTTTTTCATATTTTTCCACAAAATGTGGTAAAATATTAGTAAACCTTCCAGTGTTCAGGGTTCGTGCTGGTGCTGGAAATCCTTAAAAATGCTTGAATTTTAATCTAGTGTTTACTAGCAGGGCTTGACACTAACACCCACCAAATGTGGGTAAATTTCAGCATTGGCGGGTAAGACAGACACTTCCACTTGCCACTTTGGCTAGTTGAAAATTTTTTCCCAGTATAATAATTCTTAAAAGCAGGGTTTAACAATAAGGATGGTTCAATATGCATGCAAAGGCAATCTTAGAATTAAGAAGCAACACAACTGACAAAAATAATTGAACTCGTGCGAGTAATAGAAAGAAGGTGAATGTGGTATGAGAGAATGATCACTCGCGTTAACAGCTGAGGTGATGTGTGTGACTGTTTAAAACGCGTGCGCGCTCCTGTTTCTTTGCATGAAGCGGCTGTGTCTAGAATTACAGCTGATGTGATCGGTTCTCTTTCAAATAGACTAGACAAAAAGTGATGAACATGCACCCACAGTCCTGCTGCTTTCAAGAGTTCCAAATTTGTCTTTTTGTAAGCAGCAATGGTTGCTTTCGCTTTAACCATTCTTTGAACAGATTATTTATGGGTCTAACGTTAACCGTGCATGTGATCCTTTCATTACCTCACGTTTTTGCTTTCTTTTTGCTACCTCTGCTTTCTTTTGCGTTAATATGGTTTAATAATCATTTTTTTACAATAACATTGCTTTAATGGGAGATTAACTCCCTATTTATGTGTAGTTAACTGGTGATCTGGGACCTTTAGCCAGGACAGATTGCTGTGCATATGTAAATAAAAAGTATAATATGCAGCTATATTTTGCTTGATTTGACACATTTTCATTTTGTGGCTAGGAAATAACTAATTGTTTATATTTAGTGTGGTCAGAGATAAATTTGGTTAATCCTTCATTTTGAGCCCTGATTATTATGTGCATGTGAATGGTGCAACCACTGCGTAAAACATATGCTGAGGCAACCCCAGATTAATAAAGGGACTAAGCCGAAAAGAAAATGAATGAATGAATAAATCTCTACACGTGTTTAATGTATTATTTAGTCTTTTTTTATCTGCACTTTTTGCTTAAACAGTGGGAGAACCCAAATTGTTCGGAGATTACAGCATCATAAGCGAACAATGCGTAGCATTAAATTAAATGTACAATTATGTTGAAAGATGACACGTTGAAAATGTGAGTAAATGGCATTTAAGATGGTAAATGACAATAATTCCTTGTTGTGCTTGAGGAAAACATGCCAGTATTATTTTTTTCAGAATACTATACTAATAACACATAGCATCTATAATGAAGTATGCATATAAACTTAAGTGCTGGATAAGTTTGGAAATTTAATCGGGAAAGAGCTTTTTAAAATGTTTAAATTTGGGGAAATTGTCTACAAGCCCTAGATGGTGCTGAGAGTGTCATTTAGATAAATGTTAATTTGTGTCAGTTTTCTTTTTGTTTTTAGTAGCCATAATGCAACAAAGTGACAGCGATTCCTGAACTCTGGAATTTGGCAGTCCAGCCTAGTCTTCCTGCTTCTTATTTAGCACTGCGTTCAGTTGGGTGCTTTGATAAAGTCATAAAACATAATTATTTAACATAAAATAATTGGTGTCTTGGTGACTTTCTATACAAAGTACAATTTTATTTTGTATGTAAAGTTGTGTCCACCAAAGTATTTTATTTTTCGACGGTTAGCACTACTACTACTATCTACTCATCCCCCACTTGTTCCAAACCGATTTGACTTTCTTTCTTCTGTTGAACACAAAGAGGGAGGGGGGAAGAACAGCCATTGACCTCCATAATATTTGGGTTCACAAAGGACGAAATCATTATCTGCCCAAGAGCATTTCATGATGGTTCCAAGTGGATATGCGTCATCATTGGGGAAAAAAGAACAATGTTAACTTTCATTCTATGATGACTTTAAATTGCAGTCATAGAATTTAGCATTTTAGTCAGTGAAATTGACATTTAAAGCAGGGGTGTCCAAACTCGGTCCTGGAGGTCCGGTGTCCTGCAAAGTTTAGTTTCAACCCCAATCAGACACACTTGGGCTAGCTAATCAATCTCCTACAAGGCTTTCCAACATCCCTGCAGGTGTGCTGAGGCAAGTTGGAGCTAAAATCTGCAGGACACTGGCCCTCCAGGACCGAGTTCCTCAGGTTTCCAGTGACCTCAGGGACACCCCTGGTTCAGAGTGTAAATGGGAAAGTGTCTTCTTCACCTAGATTTGCTATGATCTGTTAAATGAGGTATAAACAGTGCCAAAATAACATAATCTTAGTTCACTGATTTACTTGAAGTACATCAGGGTTTTTAGGATGTTTTTACACCGATCTTATTTAGTTTGGTTGAATCGCACTAGAGTTCGTTTTCCCTCTTGGTGTGGTACATTTGGGCAGGTGTGAATGTAGCAATTGCACTCGAATGCGCACCAAAATTGGACCAAAAAAGCATACCGAGCCTTCTTTAAAGAGGTGGGTTCTGTATTCTTTAAAGGAAACCCCTCGAGAGGTTTGTTTGTGGTGAGAATAGGATGCGAACTAGAACAAACCCAACCACTAAAAGTACTGTGCCTTTGTGTAAAAATCCAGATGCTGTAGTCTAATGTGCATTATAGGATGTGGAGAAAAAATATTTGTTTACAGTGCTTTACCAACAATTTTAAACAGAGAGAGAGAGGGAAAAACATTACCTGATGGATCTTTGGTAATATTTCCGGAAGATGATCATTTAGCAAAATGAATTCACGCCTTTTCCAGAAGTGACTTGCAATGCACCTTTGCCTATAGTTTACTATGAGCAGGGATACAATCAGTTGTACCTCCATAGTAAAAAGCGACATTTTGTGTATGTCAGTTTGTTTACTTGCGAGAGTTCCATCGCCATTTTCCCACAGGTTAATTCTGACCAATCGAAAAACAGTTTAGGAAATGCATTCAGTAAGATCTGGCCAATGAGTGATGTGGATTTTGTCACATGACAGCATTTTGTTTTTTCAAATGGTTCGGACCTAATTGAAAAGTACCCAAAAATGGCTGAAAATGCTACAATGTTTTATTTGTTGCCCTTGGTTAGGACTAAATAAACCGAACCACAGATCTGAAAACAGATCACCCTTAAAGATCTTAATTTTCATGCTCCCTTTACAATGATAAAATAGAGGGCCATGACTTGTATATAATATCATAGTAGGGTTAAAATATTGTAATGTTTTAAGTGACAAATAAACACACACGTAATGCTGTCTGCTTGCAGGGCTCTTGGATCATGTGACAGTCCTCATAGGTATTGCTCATGCAGGAACAGCCATTGCTGGAGTCATCAATCAACCTTTCTACAACTACCAGGTCCAACAGATTGATTGGTCATACATTTTACTGCTCTGTATTTTATGGAGGTTTGGCATTACTTCACTTCTGTCTCTCTGTTCAATTAGGCGGGGGCTGGTGCTACTCTAGGCCGGACATTATGGGGAGTGTTGGGTTTGGGTGCATTCGGGTTTCAACTCAAGGAGGTCCCAGATGGTAAAAGAATCATCACGACCACACGGTCGCATAGTAATAAACTTGTGATCGACACAGTTCAAGCAATGGAGCCTCATGATGTCATCAGAGTGGGCGGAGCTGGAAATAAGGTGGGATAATAACCTTTGGTACTAGTTTGATGAATCATTTTCCATTGTTAATATTACTGTCTTTTCGATATTGCACTGTTAATTCATTAGATGAGTGGATCAGAGCACACACATTTATTGTTACTAGCGCAACATACTTGTCAAGTTGTTTTAAGCTCTAGGCTATGAAAACGTTATTTTCAATGACGAAATGGACACCGTTGAGTAGTATAGATTAAGGGTGCTTTCACACCTGTAGATTGAATGTTTTGTTCCAAAACAGGGATTCAGATTGTTACACTGTTTCTAAATGGACCAAAATAATTAAAACAAGTCACATGTTAGTAAACTCTCCTCATATTGGTCAAGTTCCACAGTTTATTTTTCCCGCTATGAGTTTCGCTTAGCTGTCAAACATCCTTATTTTAATTTATGACGATAAGCAATAAGACATTATAAGCGACATTGTCACCAAATATAAACAAGAGAGAAGACGTTCTCATACATAGCCATTGGATAATAGTCTTTACATTATAGAGAGAAATAACAGATAAACCAAGACTGCAGTTCGCAACGGGTAAACAGTTCTTGTTAATAGTTCAGCATGCTTTCTCTTTTGTAATTAACATGGAACGCACAATTACCGGTAGTTATGACATCCCGCTCTACTCATCATTCTCTCTTCATATAGCATATAAATATATAAATATATAAATATATATATATATATATATATATATATATATATATATATATATATATATATATATATATATATATATATATATATATATATATATATATATATATATATATATATATATATATATGCCTATTACATATCCTTAATACACTGTGATAAAGCCTGGTTCATTTTGCTTTCTCAATACAATCGATCCACTCCAGAGTTTGCTTCAATCTATCCGAGACCACATCATTCAGGCAGTCTCGGACCGATTGTTTTGGCACAGATCTAAATGCGATTGCTGGATTCACATATGCCAAACGAATCACGCTACCTAGGCCAATGCACCAGGTTCCTAATCAAAAGTCTAGACGTGAAAGCACCCTAAAAATGTACTCACTAAATTTGTTGTCCCTTTCCAACCACTTATCTTTATGTGCATTTTGGATATGTGAAAAAAGAAAATGCTTAATAGAGAAGCCAAGATGCTCATACGTTTAGAAAATGCTGGGGTAGGATAAACTTTTCATTCGATAGGAGAAAATGAGCATAAACTAAGATGGAAGCTCTAACCAGTGGACTACCCACATTCTAAGATGATATCTGAAATGTTGTTTTGGCTATTCTAAAACAACTCCGTAATGTCGTCACAGTGGTTTAGAATTATTATTATATTATTACCTCCAGCACTGTCTTGAGCATTTGCGCTCCCAAAGGGCGTCTCAAGCAAGTGTGCCACACGCCTGCTTTTGAGTGAAGGGCTGTTTCTCAATATGCGTTCCTCATCGGTCATGCGTCCTCTTGTTCTAGTGGATGTGTTGTTGATATTGAGGATGCACCGCGACTGGGGGTGGGAAGCGCTGCACTTTATTTAGGTTTATTATTAAAGTTCAGAGACATAACTTATTTATCTCAGGAGTTTTCCTAAATGAAACGGTCAAAGTAAACCTCACCATGGACATCTTAATAAAGGAATACACACATTTAGGGTGTTTATTTGCTGAACTTCGTATTAAAATCTGTTTTATTTTATTGTTCATCGTATATTTATAATGTTTTTATGCATAGTATATACTTTAAAAAGGGGAAAAACAGTAAATCATTTTATGAATGCTGTAATGTTAAAATAAGTTTCCATATAAAACCCGTGAAGATCACATGACCATCAGGAAAAGTGCAGCATCTTATTTTTCACAGGACGTGCTCTCTGTTCTCGTAGTCTCCTGAGTTCGTTCTTCTGAGGACACCTTGCAAGACTGCTCTCCACAAGAACGCAAGTCAGTTGTCTGCGTTTTGGAATTGAGAAACAGCCAAGGTCTCAGCCGTTAGGCTGGCTGCAATACAAGTCATAAAGCCTGCCTCCTCCGTGTTAATGAAGGAGACTAGAGCCCAAATAAAAAAAAGATTAATTACACTTGCAATAAAATGTCCCGAAAGATGGTTCTGGTTAATTAAGGCACTGGTTATCACACTGATATAGGTGCAGATCTTCATCTTTGTAAAGAGTATGAGCAATTCCATGCAAATGTCAACCTTGCCATGAAAAAAAATTACGTTTTTACCAAAATACAGAAACCATTTCTGGGTTTTTTGTGCAAGCAAGTATTTTACAGTACTTTAAAAATACTCAAAAATGCATCTGTCAATGTTTTCAAACTATTCTATTTGATTTACCAAGGTCACACAAATGGTAATTTCACATGCGTCACATCCATAACAGAGAGATGTCACATCCATAACGACACTTTTTCCTCAGAAATGTGAAAATATTAAATAAAATAAAACCAATCATTTTTGTTTTATAGAGAGCCGACTCGAATCCTTTTGATTAGCATTATTTCTTTTGGGTTGCGCAGTTTAATTCACATAATTTCTACAAAGTGTGTTGTATACTGTAAACTCACAGACTTTTTTTGTCACATCCATAACGCTTGTTTATTTTCCTCATTTAAAGTACAAAACATGTTTACAGATTGATATTTTTCTGCTCCCATAACTCTGTGGCTAGTTGCTCTACAAAAATATAATCAAATTTTTCAATATAATGTTAACATACTTTCTCTGTCTATTTATGTGTTGAGTTTTTACTGCAAATGTCACATCCATAACGCTGGAATTGCTCATATGTTTTAAGCCAGTAATTTAATGCTGGGCATGTCATCGTGATTGACAGTTCTGATTGACAGTTTCTCAAAGCAAACATCGAAATCTTCGAGAGAAGTGTTGCTACCATGAAAAAATGAGTTCAGCAGTAAACTATACTTTCTGACATACATGATCTGGTGGAACACTGTTTTTTCTGTAAGGTCAGGACTTCATCAGGCTTCATTAGTTTGCTGATACACGCATAGCCATGACAGGGAATGTACAGGTGATCGCTAACTAGCAGTAATTCTCTTTATGGGTCTGAAATAATAATTAGGAAGACAAAAAAAATGCTAATCTCCACATTGATCTCCTGTAAGGTTATTTGAACTTGATTTAAAGGACGTCTCTGCGTTTCGAGTTTCCGCATGTTATTGAGTTAATCTACTCAATTTGCTATTTCATATTAATGTTCTAGAAACCGAATCTTAAATAGCAAATAGAGCTGTAAGTGTTCTATATTATTTATATACATCATGTATCATTGGCTTTTTATTGGAAAACTCCTAATAAACATTCAAATGAATTTAAATTCATAATGAAGGCATGGAATAAACCAAATGAAAACGGAGTCAAAAAATCATAAACAATATACAACTGATTCAGCAGCTGATAGACATCAGTTGATGTATTAATAATGCAAAGTTTATTGCACAAATTGATGAGGATTATTTTATATAGTACAGAGATGGGATGTGTAAATAACCTGTTGATATTTAGAAATCTTGCTGTGTTTATCTTTTAAACGCACAATTTTTCCAGCATGGTAAATCGTTATCTATGGTGTGTATGTTTCTGATGATTGGTAATTAAAAATAAAAACCTTACGAGTGTTATTTTTTCCCATGTGAAGATAAAAAAAACCAACAACCCTGTTATAAGAGAATATTTTTGTGCTCATAATAGTCTAGCTCAGGCTAGAGTGTATGAGAAATCGTTTATTTCTGCATTCCAACATGGATTATAAAATATAACAGCTTACAACACAGTTTTTAAATCGTATATTATTATGTGTTTTTAAATGTATGTGCTTATATTTACATTAGCAAGCCTTTGTTGTAGTGCAGATACCGGTGGTCAAGTGAGAAGTTCAGGGGGTGTGGTTGATTTGACGTACAAGCGTTTGCTTGGAAGCTTAATTCCACCTCTGGCTCCATCTGGTAGTCCCTTCTGTGCATGCCCAGGCTCCAATTTCAGCAGTCTTTTGCGACAGTTTGTTCCCATCACGAGGCGTTTTGCCTTTAAAAAGGGGGTCACACACCAGAAGCGGCATGCATTTTAGAATTCTAAACATAGGTTTCTATCAGGGTACACCAATGACTGTAAAAAATATGGACGACGCGACAGCCCCTTTTGCCATTGAACGCCTTGAGGGCAAAACGCCTGCTTGACGGGCACAAACTGTCGCAAAAGACTGCTGAAATTGGAGCCAGACATGCGCAGAAGGACTGTCTGATGGAGCCAGAGGAGGAGCCGCGATAATGAGCAGAGTCGAGCTTCCAACCAAACGCTTTATGTAAAATCAACCACGCCCCCCGAACTTCTCACTCGACTGCCGGTGTCTGCACTATAACAAACGCTCACTGATGTAAATAGAAGCACTTACATTAAAAAAAACACAATAATATACGGTTTAAAAACGGTGTGATGTAAGCTGTTAAACTTTAATAAAAGCAATACATGCTGGACTGCAGAAATAAACGATCTTTTATACACTCTAGCCTGAATATGAGCACAAATAATATATTCTCTTATTGTTATATTTGTTGTTGGTATTTGTTATCTTCATAGGGGTAGAAATAACACTTGTAAAATATGAACAATAACATATAAACAACACATACATTTTTAGAAAGGTTTTTATTTTTAATTAGCCATCAACAGAACCCAAAATATAGCCTACACACCATAACGATTTACCATGCGGGAACAATCGTGCGTTTAGAAGATAAATACAGCAAGATTACTAAATATCAACAGGATATTTACACATCCCAACCCTGCAATTTGTCAATTTGTGCAAAAAAACTTTGCACTATTAATACAACGTCTATCTGCTGTAACATAGTATATTGTTTATTCATTTTCGCTTGAATTGTTTATTTATTTAATTTTTTTGCCTCCGTTTTCATTTGGTTTATTCGATGCCTTCATTATATCTGGCAACGAGGAATTTACATTCTTTTTAATGTTAGCTGGAGTGTTCAAATAAAACGCCAACAGTAAATGATGTAAATAAATAATAGGCCTATCTAACATTTACAGCTCTATTAGGTTATATAAGATTCGATTTCAAGAACCTTATAATGATTTATAACAGCAAATTCAGTAGATCACTTAATAACATGCCAAAACTTAAAATGCAGAGACGTCCTGTAAAGCAAGTTCAAATAACCTTACAGGAGATCAACGTGGAGATTATTATTTAAACACAAAGAGAATTACTGCTAACGATCTCCTGTATACCCCGTACTTAAATGGGTTTATTTTATTGTGCAGTTTTATTGTCATTTTCGTATTTATTATTATTATTATTTAATACTTGTGCAATCGATACAGGTTTATTGTTATTTATTTTGTCCTTTATTTAAATAATTGCTATGTATGCTGTTTGCATCTTTATTCAAAGGTTAAACTCAGTGATACACTTTGCGTTCACATAGTAGCATGCGTTTGTTGTTATATCAACAAAAATGGGTGTAATAACGTTAACAAATGTGAGGGTTTTATATAATGAAGATTCAATCGCGCCAGCTCCGGGCATCAGCGCATAACCTAGTCGCGGCGTCGCGGGCTGATTCCGGCTCGCATGCGGCAGCGCCTGCTCACTCGGCCGCCGCATCTGGCTCAATTGACTCAGGCTGGAATCGGGCAGTGAGTCCAGGCATCCGGAGTAGGTCCAGCAGAGGTAGTCAGTCTGAGGGGTAAGTCTCCGGCAGGCAAGAACTGGCCCCAGTGTATTTTGCTATCTGGGTGGCTAGGCGTGTATTAGCAAACTAATAAAGCCCGAAAAAAGCTCTGACCTTAGCGAATAAACAGTGTTCCACCAGATCATGTATGTCAGAAACTGTAGTTTACTGCTGAACTCATTATCATAGTAAAATATCACAGAAATCGAGTAATAACACTTCAGTCTTCTGCCGAAGCTCAGACGCCGCGCTTTGAGAAACTGTCAATCACCGCTGTCAATCACGATGACACGCCCAGCATTAAATTACTGCTAAAAACAAACTGTTTACAAAAATGAAGATCTGCACCTATTTCAGCACAATAATCAGTGCCTTAATCGACCAGAACCATCTTTCGGGACATTTTACTGCAAGTGTAATTAATTTTTTTTATTTGGGCTCAAGTCTCCTTCATTAACACGGAGGAGGCGGGCTTTATGACTTGTACTGCAGCCAGCCCCCAGGGGGCGATCTAACGGCCGAGACCTTCACTCAAACGCAGGCTTGCGGCACACTTGGGGTACACACACCGGTGCCGCATGTCGGCGGCTGTCCGCAGCGCCAAGCCACGACTCTGGACACTGTTCATATTTCTGCCGCTCCATCTGAATAGTTTCATTTTAAATAGCATGCGAATGTGCGCATCTGGTGTGTTGTACTTTCAACTGTCATGTGCGTGCCGTGTCGCGGCACGTCCGGTGTGTGACGCCTTAAAGCACAGGTGTCAAACTCGGTTCCAAAAGGGCCGCAGCTCTGCAGTTTAGTTCCAACCCTAATTAAACACACCTGATCAAACTAATTGAGTCCTTCAGGCTTGTTTAAAACCTACTGGTAAGTGTATTGGAGCAGGGTTGGAACTAAACTGTGCAGGGCTTCGGCCCTCCAGGAATTGAGTTTGACACTCCTGCCTTAAAGCAGTCAATGGGAAAAGGCGATGTCGCATCGTCCATATTTTATAGTCATTGGTCTCACACCCATGAAAGCCACCATGTATTCATTGAACTTTGTCTTTTGAGGTCTTATTAATCTATTATACAGGAGAAAAAAAGGCTCACAGTGGCTTCTCCTAACATAGAAAACTCCATAATTATTTTCAATATTTGGCACCAGTTCATCAGGAAGTAACTATTTTGTTCTCTTTGACTTATTAAATGGAATTGGTGCTCTATTCACAAATGATTTATGCCATTATTCCAGTTTTGAGCATAAATTTAATTAGCGTCTTTGGATGTAAACATACTGTCATGTTTCATATGTTGTCAGTTGTGTTGCTTCACTGCCAGTCAAACGTCTTTCAACCAAGACTCAAGTGTTTAGTGGATGCACGATTCCAAATCCTGTTTGAAGTATTCAGTCAACTGGGTTGTTCTCACCTTCTGTTTTATGAAAGGGAATATTGGCTTCGAAATGAAACTAATCAGATCTTCATTCATTAGATCATCCAGCTGGTGGAGGGAACGGCTTCCGCTTATGTGTTTGCCAGTCTAGGATGTAAAAAGTGGGACACTTGTGCACCTGAGGCTATTCTGCACGCAGTTGGAGGTAATTTATTCATTTATTATTTATTTAGTTTTTGCATCTCCCTACTTAAAAATACAAGTTATTAAAGTTAAATATATCAGTTTTGAGTGTTTTTATATATTTATATATATATACACAGGTAAACTGACAGACATGCATGGGAATACATACAAATATGATGCCAATGTGAAGCACATGAATTCTGCTGGAGTTCTGGCAACATTGAGAAATCATGAGTACTATTTAAGCAAAGTGCCGCAGGCCGTCCAACAGGCTCTTCCCACAGACTGAAGCATTAATGGACACAGTCACACTCAAAACCTATGTGCCTGAAAGCGATGACATATGTTTCTGTTTTGTTTTTTTTTTCATTTAATCATTTTGTTTTGAGTAGCTTTCATTAGGGGACCAAATTAAATATGTAATTTGTAATAATGTTGCAGGTACAAGTAACTGAAATAAACTGCCATTGTGCATTTATACTGTAAAAAAAATCTTGTTTCATGTTTTACCGTCTATTAATTAACCCAGTGGTTCCCAAAGTGAAATTCAAATACATCCTATTAAAAATCAAATACATATTATTAAACTGCTAGAATTAGCATATTTTATCTGTAACATCCAGAAAATAAAACATGTAAAAAAAAAAAAAAAAAAAGCCATCAGCCTTTCAAACTTTTTTTTTTTCCCGTTGGATTGTGACCCCTAGGGTGTTTATTAATTAATTAAAAGATTAATGACACAGCAGATAGATTTTTATGACACCGATTAAACTTTGACTTCTTTACGGTACTCACATACATAAAAAAATAAATAAATAAACTGTGATTGATCATGAAGGATCCACAATTAAACCAAGAATAGATGTGTGCTTTAAGCATTTTGTGTTAAATTACATTAAACAAGTGAATACATTCCTATAAAAATATACATAGTTGTAAGACTGTTGCACTTTGTGTTATCAACATGCTCTAGTTTATATAGGCATATTGCTGTATGTGCACCGGTTGTTCTTATATAACCATCTCCGAGGATAGTGCGGGACTGTGTGTCACTGGCTGTTATTTTGGGGGCCTTGGGCTAAAAACTTTGGGAACCAATGATTTAGACCAGTGGTTCCCAACCTGGGGTCCGCGCCCCCCTAAGGGGGGCGCCAGAGTTCACAGGGGGGGCGCGGGAGAGGATAAGTATTGAGGTAGAAAAAGGCATAAAAATGCTCCACTATTATAAAGGGCTTTGCAATTAATCGAATATCCGATTTAGATTTCGGTTTCAAACGATTATAAAAAAGCATTAATCGAGATAAATGATTATTGCATCATATTTTGCCACGTTCCAGTTGTACACGCTCTTAAATGGCTCTTAAAAGCGCGAAAGAGCTTATGTGTGTGTGCAGCACGATCACGGAGTCAGAAGCATGCGGCCGGTCAGCATTCACTCTCATTCACACACTGAGACGAGCAGAGGAGCGCAGACATCTAAAGTCATCTTAACGTGAGCGCTTTAATGGTAAAATAGGTGTCAAAACGCGGTGTTTAGTGATTATGTACATTAACCCTCATTTGTGTAATAAACAAACGAGTTGAGGATCAAAAGACGTGAAAGAGAAACTATTAAAGAGACAGTGCATAATCCTTCTGCCGCCTGTTTTTATCATTATTAAACAAACACAACGAGAAAATCCTCGCTGGTCTTGACTGAAGGACTGCTGCAGCTAAAGTGTTTTTCTTACAGTGAAGATGCTTAAAACACAGTTTGTTTTATATTTTTATTCTATTGTATTTATTTCTCTTTCCTTTGCAGGGTGGAAAATAACTGTATGTATACAGTTGAAGTCAGAATTATTAGCCCTCTTGAATATTAGCAAACCTTTTCCTGCCCAATTTCTGTTTCATGGAAAGAATATTTTATTAACTTATTTCTGAACATAATAGTTTCGATATCTCATTTCTAATTACTGATTTCTTTTTGTCTTTGCTATAATGACAGCACACATAATATTTTACTAGATATTTTTCAAAATACAAGCATTCAGATTAAAGTGCAGTTCAAAGGCTTAATTAGAGTAATATGGCAAGTCATTATAACGGTAGTTTATTCTGCAGACAATCAAAAATATATATTGCTTAAGGGGGCTAATAATATTGACCTTAAATTGGTTTCAAAATATTTAAACCTTTCTTTATTCTAGCTAAAATAAAACAAATAGAAGAAAAAATATTATAGGAAATACTGTTAAAATTCCTTGCTCTGTTAAACATAATTTGGGAAATATTTATTAAAAAAAAAAATCTCAGGAGCGCTAATAATTTTGACTTTAACTGGCAATGGTTTTGAATAATCGTGATTACAATTATGACCAAAATAATCGTGATTATGATTTTTCCCAAAATCGAGCAGCCCTACTATTATATATGTATTTTTAAGTACCAAAAAAATAAATAAAGATCTAAACGCATGCTTAAAATTCCAACATAATAGTGAAAATAATTAAAATAAATAACTTTAAATAATTATTTAAATTTTGCTCACTCGCGCAATCTGCTTGTCAACGTGTCGTAAAGTCAAAATCAAAACAAAAATGGCAGACAAATGTAAATGCAGGGATTCTTCAGAGGCGAAGAAAAAAGATTAGACAGTATGACAAAGCCTACCTAAATTTTGGTTTTATTGAAGGCCAAGACAAGTTAAAACTGATTAATTAATATTTTCTATACATATTACTATATATTAATATTACACAAACACACACACACACACACACACACACACACACACACATATATATATATATATACATATATATATATATATATATATATATATATATATATATATATATATACACACACAGTACATATGTATGTGCGTGCGTGTGTATTTATATGGTGGGGGGGCTCCAATGTTTGTATATGTTCATGGGGGGGCTCCAAAGAAAAAGGTTGGGAACCACTGATTTAGACCAGTGGTTGCCAAAATTGGTTCCACAGAATTGTACATTTTTTTTCAATTTTAGACACCCTAAAATAACAAGTACATACATCTGGAAAAAAACCCACTGATATATGACATAAAACGAAGTTCAAATTCTGATTTACTAGAACAGTCCTTGCATATATCATTCTTTTGATTGGGTTGTTTCACCCCATATTATGTCTGTTGCATGTGATGCATTCATTATAATTTCATGTAACCATTTGTGTCACTTGTTGTTTGTTCATCTATACTTTATTTTACAGTTGAAGTCAGAATCATTAGCCCCCTTTGATTTTTTTATTTTATTTCTTTTTTAAATATTTCCCAAATGATACAACAGATTCAGGAAATTTTCACAGGATGTCTGAAAATATGTTTTCTTCTGGAGAAAGACAGAAAAGTTTTATTTTGGCTTGAATAAAAGCCGGTTTAATTAAAAAAAAAAAAAAAAAAAAAACATGTCAAGGTCAAAATTATTAGCCCCTTTAAGCTATATATTTTGATAGTCTACAGAACAAACCATTGTTATACAATAACTTGCCTAATTGCCTGCCTAGTTAATCTAGTTAAGCCTTTCAATGTCACTTTAAGCTGTATAGAAGTGTCTTAAAAAAATCTAGTCCAATATTATTTACTGTCATCATGGCAAACTATTATGTTAAGAAATTGAGGGAAAAATAAATGGGGTTTAATAGTTCTGTCTTCAACTGTATACATATATACAGATGTACTTTAGTTGAATTGGGTTGCCTTATGGGGAAAAAAGCACTACAAAGGGAAGCTATGCTTTCAAAAAGTTTAGGAACCACTGATTTAGACCATATTAATATATAAATGAATGTCTGACAGGGGTCATCATTGTCTTTACTTCTTTAACTTCACTCTGATGATTGTGTAAGTGTTGCATCATGAAATCTGAATGCTTCTGCTGTGAAACATGTTATGAAATGTGTATTTTCCATATACTGTGAAAGCAATTAAATGAGTTTAATATCACCAATTATTACATAAAAGAATTAAAATGATCATAAAATTATTACATAAAAGATGCACTAAAATGTTCATTTTAATATTAACTTTAACATTTATGACTGATGAATTAGATTATGATTCAGTGGATGGGCTACAATAATTGGTTCTACTTAATGTCAATATTTAGAATCCATTTAGGGAGAAATATTTCTCCCTACAATATTTTTGTTATATTGTACAGTATGTAATATGTGTGGTGCTATAAAAGTGACTTATTCATCTGCTAGTTTAAATTCAAGCTCTTACTCGGGCAGACTGCATATATATTTACAATATTTATTAAAATAAGTCCATTTGCAACCCCGTTTGATTGAAAACACGACCACAAGTTGGATGAGAAGACATCTTTATTTCAAATTAATAATATACAAGTCCATAAACTCTTAAAAATCTTCTATAAAAATAAAAAAGTCATATTTTTATTAATGCATGATATGAAAAAGGCTTACCTGAGGTACTATCAGAACCGTCTCCCCATATTGGATTATCAGTTCATCTGGCAGCTTGCAGACCATCTATTCAACAGTTTGAAGACCTATAGGCATAGTTCACTCATAATACATTATGTATTGACTGCTTGTTTATCTTCAGTCCTTCTTGGAACACAGATGTTGAATAATGTACCAGAAATCTTCTTTTACATATGACAAGTAAATAAAAATACAGCAGGTCTAAAGAAGAAGGTATTAGATCTGTTTCAGGAAGGTACACAATAGTGGTTTTCACACTGGAGGAAGGTATTCACTGTTCCTAAAACCACTGATGAAAGTACAGTTTTGTTGCATTTGCAATAGGAAATGGGATCAGTATGAACTTCTTTTTGGGAATAAAATGAGTTCCAATTTCAGTGTAGGATCTAAACAAGCCCAATAGGAACTTACCCACGTAGCAAAGTATCTCTAGCCCAGCTTTGGCCCACACAATCAGCTTTTGCTTGGCCTACATGCTGCAGTGAAATCCGGTACATGACTGGACAAGGTCTGGATTCCAGACACGCGCCAAAAATAGACCATATCTGGGCCAGAATAATAACGCATAATTGAGCCTGAACTGGGCCAGATATGTTTGTGTGTCACGTTTGCAATGAAATTGAAAAACCAATGAATCTTTAGGTGTGCTATGAGCGTGGTCTTTCTCGAAGCGACCTGATAGAAGTTTTATTCTTTATTTGAAAATAATTAAAATTATTTTTAAATGTGGGTCAAGATAGGACAAATTTTCATGCCCCACATATTGATTAACATCTGGGCTAAACACTACATTTTACATCTGGCCCAAATATTGTGTGCCACCTCTGCCAAACTCGAGCCATGTTTGGCACACATGCTACATGCCATACCTGTCAACCCTCCCGTTTTTCCCCGGATTCTCCCGTATTTTTCAGCTCTATCCTGCTATCATCCCGTAAAATTATTTTCCCGTGTTTCTCCCGTGTCTTTAGTCTTTTTCTGAAGGGTGGCAAATAAATAAACATTTAAAGAGTCAA